AGCCTCATTGTCCCCGGTAAGTTAAAGGATCTACACACATCGTCTTCTGTCCATTTCGGCTGTCTTACTCGATCTTTCTTGTCTTTGGTTAACGTTCGAAATCGGCCCCTGAGTGTGGATTCCGCAGCGGTAAAATTCCCATTGGATCGAATTGCCTTGTATGACATACCAGCTTGCCTTGAGCGAATCAAAAAGTTATTTTGTTCAGATCGAGTAAGTAGTGGCGTATTCCCGATGGTTGACGAAGATTTACCATCAAGAAAATCATTTTTGGGCGTAAGCGTTACATTGCAATGCTTGATATCAAGGTCATTCTTAATTGTTCTATGGCTTCGAGTATTTTGAATTGCACGAATGGGAGTGCTAGCGCTTGGGTGCCGATTTTCCACTAGCCTGTTTGTGGCCGTTTCATATTCATCGAACCTATCGGGGATGTGGTTTCTGATCGGTCTCGAACTTGGGAGCATGTGTCGAGAACGTGATTGGGGGGTGTGGTCTTTGGATTGTCCTTCGGCTGGGGAAGGACTTGGGGTATAATCCGAAGTACTTGTGACAGCAGTGGACTCTGGTGAAAATGTCGAGACTTGGCTGGATGCCCTGGTGGTGGTAGAGGCAGTGGAAGTAAATGATGCACTAAGGTTCAACGTTCTGGGTTTGATCGTACTCGGAACAAAAGAGGCTGGTGGCCATTCACTCTCTGTTACCCACTCATCATTCCAGCTCTCCTCAAAATTCTCTAGCTGCTCATTTTGTGGTCTAGGAAGGCCATCAGGAAAGATCGGAATGTCATACGATGCTACCATTCCACTCAGATGATCATTGATTTTATTCATCAGGTTGCCATTCTCAGTCGACCACCAATCACCCAATATGCCGTCGTGCGTAATAAACCCTGACGCAAGAGACTCGTGTGATTCGAGTCTGTCTGTATTGGACTTGTGGAGATCGTCATAGTCTACACTTGGAGCTATGGTGACATTGTTGAAACGATCTGTGGTTGAAGCATTGCCGGAGAAAGATCCGTGTGCCATTGAAAATGGTGTCGAAGTCCTGCAATTTTGGAACGCTGTAAAACTTCCTCGACCCTGATCTATACCCATCTGGGTGTAATCTACCCCAAGTGTTGAATCTGGACCATAAGCTTGCGTCATGTTATGTGCTGGATGTAAGGGAATGGAATAGGAATGCGATTTGGAAGGATGCCGTCGTGGATGTAATACTGCACATGTTGGCGTTTTTGGCGAATTGTTATTGCCTTCCCGGTTCCCCGAAAGTGGTGTCGTATCTTGACAGAGCTCGCCACTTTCGTTTTGAAACTGCTTAAGTCAGTTCATGATAAGTCTTTGTCAGTCCCTGTCTACCTACCAGTGGAAAATTTTTGTGGTCTCGAAAGCTTTCAAAATTTTGCTCCCAACCTTTCGTAGCTGGTGGGTTGACGACACTGAAAGCGTTGCTATCCATCTCGAATAATGGTTCCGACATTAAGGGGAACACACAATGATTTGCGAAAAAGAATTCGATGCTGTTCGACATGATTCGGGGATCACTGTGGTTTAACACCATTTCTTTCTTGACCGCTATCTTATTGCTAAGTACGTTTGCGACACATACATCAACAACGAGATGCACTTAAACAAGTCGAATTTACTCATTACTTCTGCATATACTACATATGCAGGAATGGTGTAGATACACCCAAAGGTTAAGGCGGTCAAGCTACAAACTGGGCACTAGATTCTCTCCTTGCTATTTTGGTGAAGCGGCGAGAACCTTTTGGCAACCAATCAATATTTCTACCGGATAACGAGTGTTAATCCTTCCCCGCAAAGTTCGCAACCAGATACTAGAAGGGAAATATGATGGAACACTTACATTAGACGTCGTTATATATGATCCCACCCACAAGACAAGTGTTGATCAGTATATGCAACACTCGTGAAAGCTAGGGCCTTAAGCTTTATATTTCATACTTCGGGAAATAATGACATTGATTACAATGATCGGGCCAAGCGCGATTTCATTAGATTATCAACTTCCAGAGACTCCGAAGAAGGAAGCTCAGATCAGTGTCATCCCCTTGATTGCATTTTCTTTTAATTTTGTCATAGCTCTCTTCTTTACAATTTCCAAAAGGCTTGAAAACGCTGCAAATATCTCAACATGCCCGGTCATTCAGATCATTTACTGCCTAATTCTATTACTGCGCGTTTCCGTAGTAGTACCCACATACGTTCACCCTTTCTTGGTAACGAAGGAACCGGGACGGATACTTGCATACTCCCTACCGAACTCAGCGGCAAAACTCCTTAGTAACTGACAGGATCTGAAATTGTTTGGCGTTTTGATCGCTATAATGATGATAGCCAATACAAACTTTTGCCATTACTGCTGTCTTCTATTCATCCCGCCGTTCCGCCACTGAAACTGACCAAAAACTGCCTTTGCTCTGTCATCATCTCGCAAGTATGTCTAACTAGGGGGTATCTGTAGAATGGCTTCGAAGGGTGAATTTTGCGCGAAGACAAAAGACTGCAAAAGTGCTAGTCGGCATAAGCCGGCGGCTTGTTACACAAGGACTTTCAGTTCCACTTTTTAAAGTCTACCTGCACAGGAACCTTTCCTACCATGTTATGCAGAACCCTTTACACACTAGGTACTTGCATTTTGACAAGTCAATTCTGGCCAATATCTTCATTCCCCAATATTTCATGTGCACAAGACGATGGATGCCAGCCAAAGATCAACAATCATTTACCTTAGCTAAAAAAGAACTATGATGGAGCTGCATCGCACCGTTACTTTGCAAGGATTAGTACAGACTCTTGGTTCTCCATTCACTGAGGGACTCATATCCATCATATCATCTGTCGTATTCGCAAACGTAGGCTAGTTGCTTAGTTTTGCCATCGGACTCGAAGCCACATTGCCGTTTTCATTAAAGATATGTTTGGTTCGGAGAGTGGTCAATGGTCTAAGGACTTATTAACTTCACGTGGCAAAAGGACAAACATTCCACGTGTGGTAGCTTTTACAGACTGACCAGGATCCCTTGTGCGGATGTTCGCATACACCAAGCGCGCCCCTTTCTACACGGTGGAAGTTGCATGATTAACATTGCAACATCATTTTTTGGCGGATATTCGTTATTGGAAAGCGCGGCTAACTTTTAATACTGATCGTTCATCTGTAAAAGTTTCTTGCACCAGAAGGGATTCATGCAAGAAAGTGACTTGGCAAGGATTGGCACATCTGTTAGCTGCCACTATGGCCTTGTAAGTTTTGTGTTACCTGATCACTTGGTGACGCGTGCCTCAATTTCTTTCCATCGACGATTGTACCCATCAAACTTGTTTCCTGGTCAGTGTAAACAACTACCTGATTAGAGTTGTAGAGAAGATACCTTGGGGAGTTCCCATTTCAAGCGTCGATCTTGATTCCTGCAGAAACCTCCAATTCTGATATACCAAGCATGATATTGAGAAGATTATTACTTTCAAGCGCGTAGTTGCCTACCTTCTTATTACTCTTTAGATGATTTACACATGTTCCTCTGCGAGCGGTTCCAGCTAGGGGAAAACTGGAAATGATCCGGTACAACCTTGGGCAAATGAGAGGTTTAAATCAGATAGCCAACATGACAAATCATGGAAACCCAACTGATTGCTTTTTTTCACATCAACGGAACCAAGGATAAGAATGGACAAGAAAGGTGCGGATGATATCAATGGCTTTCCATGACATGGGAAGACATTCTATACCTCTCACAGTGATAGAAATCCAAGTTTGCCGATACAACCACGCTCAAATGCCGATTTTCAAATACATATCACGTATCGTATTGGGCAAATGCCTTCGGAATGTGGCTTCGATAAGTAAGCCAGACACCCTTTGCTGCAACGTTGGAAAATAGGAGAACTCCCGGGAAATAAAGAGGCTTGGTATGGTCGGCAAATGGCTGTACGGTGCGCTTCGCAGCGTGGTTGATGGTAGGACAAGAAGGGATTGTGTGTAACACACTTTTCTGTTTCTGGCTATCGGGGTTGATCTGTTGCCGCGTAGTTTCTCCTGTTGCTAGGAGAGTTTGTATAAGTGAGCTCTGAGGATTGCTGTACATACGTAGGTAGGTATTATCACGGATCAACAGTGTTAGCTAGATACATCTTCAGAAAATCGAGATATACTACTATGACCTTCGTGCACCTTAGCGATAACCATGTCCATTTCCATCTATGAACCATATTAAATCAAATCTTCCTTTCCAACTTTCCACCTCTCCACATTCCAAGATACAAATCCCTCCAATTTTCCCAACCGCAGCTTGGGAACTTGAGAAGACCTCCACTTCATCTCCTGCCCAGTACTTAGAAAATCGTGAAATATGAACAACTGCCCTAATATCATATCCATATCCCACGCAAGTAACATGATAGTACAACATACATTTCCTCGCCATATCTTGATTGCGGGATAGGTATCTCTCTTTTACTTTGAGCTTTCTAGCTCGAGCTCTGATTTCTTGTTTCGGTGTTGGCTTTTTTGATTCTTCTTTTGGCTTCCTTACTCATTACTCGGTGGATACCTAGATAGATAGTCAGTTGGTTAGCTAGCTGAGGTAGATATATACGTAGATAGAGATTACTCATATGCAATGAATAGTAGTTGATTCAAATCCAGCTATTCGAAATTTAAGCCACGCATCTCTCCCCATCTAGTACAGTTTTGTTTTCACGTTTACGTGCGTTTTACTTTCTCTCACTTTCACAGTGCTGCACGATCTACCTTCATCCTATTACCTCAGATCTTATTTCAATCAAAACTTCTCTTATTTACCAAAGTGATTATTCTATAATTACTTTAGTATCGACTCATTGACTACCTAGATAGTCACACCCATAGCTACAGCCAGCCATAGCTATACTAAATATTAGCTAATTACTATTACATATACTCAAATTTCTCATACACTCTGCCCTTTCATCCCAAGAACAATATTCCCACCCTTAAATCCAATTCCCATCCCTCATACTCATACGGTTCTCAAAACTTTCCGGTGAACTCCCACTTCCGTTTTTCTCCCTCATCTTCATAGCATTAACTTCATATTCTCCAGAGACATTTCCATCATCATAATTCACTCCAACATTCTCTCTTCCGCTTCGTTCACTCAGATAATGCTGATGACGTAAAGTCACCAATTCCACTGCACCGCCATCTAAGCCCCTATCTACATCCCATGCATTGTCTTCAGTTTCATGTTCCTGCTGCGGTAAGTCATCATCATCTTCAGTTATACTCAACTCCATCATTTCCGCCATTCTCTCCGAAGATAGCAATCTATTCTTCAAAATTTCTCTCTTTTCTGGTGCTGGACTCCAAAGCCTTTCAATTATAGTTTCCTTGCCGGGAGAGGGAGTACGTCGCATCCATTCTGATTCTTTTACGGGGGAGGGTGTACGTCGCATCCACTCTGATTCGGTGAGGGAAAGTGTGCCTGTGTTGTCGTCGCTTGTTGTGCTGATGAATGATTTACCAGTGATGGAATCTTTTCTTGGGGGGATTCTCAATGACGAGATTTCATCTACTGAATGCTGCTGCCTACGTATCGTGACATTTGGAAGGGAGAAAGAAGGTTGTATTGTTGATGGTGAGATAATTCCTTGTCTCCTGGACTATTTATCAAGATTGTTAGTACTGTGGTTTCATCCGAATTTGGGCGAGGTAAGGAAAATTTGTGGCCAGGGATTAGACATGAGAAGGATAAAATGGATGAAATCAAATTGGAACCATACATCAGTTCTAGAAGGCGGTGGAGACAAAGCTGATAAACCTTCAAAATTATATTCCTCCTCAAATTCGTCTTCTTCACTATCATTCTCGTACTCAATAGATATCTCAGAAACATCCGAGTCAATGGATACTGCAATTGCAGTTCCAATAACTGGCTCGGGAGATGGCTGATCTCTGTCAATATAAGAAAGTAAAGAAGGAGTAACAGATGGTGCACGAGATGTTGCTGATGCCCGGGAAGCCGCTGACGAAGTTCGACTTGGGATATCAGGTAACGGTCTAGTATTGTACTCACTAGCCAACCATTCATGTGAAGATGCCGATCCAGCACCATCAATGGATAGCGCTGAAAATTTTGAAATTGGCATGATTTTTCTCCCGATACCTTTCTCTCCAGCAGATGATGATATATAGAACGGATCGGGCTCCGTCGTAGAATTAGAAGAAACAATAAATGCATCTCTATGATCCTTCTTGACCGTTAACAACGAATCTAGTTGATTCGTGTCCAAGATTCGGGACATCCAAGGTTGTCTTTCATCATAATCACAAGGACTGTCGCTAAGGTCGAATGGAGGGTAGGCAGCTCGGAGAGAATCGTGTACTTGATCGCTAGTATAAACTTTGCCCAAGTATTTTGTTGGAGTATGTGGTGATTCAGTTGGTTGGTCCGGTCGAGGTATAATTTGACTTGAGGCCATTAGGTGCCTAGCCAAAGCTGGGACCTGGGTTTCAAGAATTCTAGGATGGTTAGGAGGTATAAGATGCAACTTTTCCAGATGATCCCAACTTCTATAATGAAATTTGAATGTTACAAATGGATTGTCTTTCGCATCCTTCAAATGCCAATCGTAATATCTCGCATCTTGAGGTTTCTCTACAAGGCCATGAGTGGGCATACTGAATGAGATTAGCTAAATCATTCGAGCAAGCTATTCTACGACAGAAGCGTGTAGAGTGCGTTATAAGACTTACATAACACCATATTTTGACTGATCTTTGTGTTGCACAAGCTGCGGATTTCTTCTCTTGCGACCGCGAGCGCGAAAGACCTTGATCTCGATCAAACCACCATCATCCGCAGCAGCACAATCTCCATCTTCCTGGCTGAAGAAGAATGGTCTGTATTCTGTACCGGGATTTTTGTAAGTTGTTTTACCTTCCTTGTAATCCCATTCTACGCCTGGCTCGAACAATGCTCTCATCACTTGCCCGCTCGGTCGGTTCTTCGTATTTGTTCCCCAAGATGTAACGTGCCGGCCATTCATATATAATTTGAAGTAGAACCATGGACATTGATCTGCGGCGCCGCCGACATTGTAACGTATAAAAAATCGAGATCCTATATAAGTATTAGATGTGCGCGCGCATCTTCTTCTTCACCTTGGGAGGCTTTTACCTGATGCTGATGGTATATACACCGAAATAATTGAGGACTGTCTACCAAGCAAACGATCGGCTTTACTGTCATTAGATTTAGTAGCTGGTGAGTGACCATGGCCTTCGAAAGCTTCTTTGTCCAATTTTGGTGATCGAAATGTGAATTGAGTACTTTCTGGATGCGGAAACTCTGGGTGCATTTTCAATTCCCACTGCGAAATTATTTGCAGTTTGATCCCTTTATGCGCCGGCATCTTGACAAAATTGCTAGAGATAGAATCTTGAGGTTTGAAAGTATTGAAGGTATTGAAATCGTACAGGGAGATTTGTTTCAAAATACCATTTTTGATGCCCAGGATTGATGTGAATGGAAAACGAAGAAATGAGTGAATGGAATGAACGAAATCACTGAATGAAATTGTAGAAGAAAATGTGATTCTGAAAAGACGTATGATATCTTGAAGTAGAAGCTACCGTATGAAGAAGTAGCGAACTTCACTTTACTAAACGGACGAGAACTAATCCCGAACATCACTCCAAACACGGATATTCAAACTTCTCTTCATTTTTCAACATTTTAATCTCATCTGTTCTTTGTGAGATGAGATTTTCAAATGGCGACATATGGGATATTCATGTCTCCCGTGTTATTGTCACTAATCTCCCAAGTATATCTAGTATTTGAGGTGGAATACGAATGATATAGCGAACATCCTAAGGGACAAGATTTTGAATAGCCTTGCAAGAAGCTGACATGCAAGTCTACCTCAAACAAAAATCATGTTTCCCTTCCCTCACTTATAACAGTACCGAGTACCAAGCTTTCGACCGGCTTCAGTCTGTAAGACTATTCTTGAGAGAAAAGGGGGAGCAAACTAGATATGCCGGAAGAAGGATCGACCTTTTCCCTTTGAGCTGGGTCATGAATCAGTAAGATCAGTTTATTCGATGAAGATAGTACATTGCTTCGAATTTTATAGCATCCATCCCTAACTCCGATATCCATTGACGAACATATCATATTCACCTGCCAATCTTTTATGTTTGAGGCTGGCCGTTTGGTACTTACACGTAACACGAGAAATATTCCTACGTGACTGAGATGGCCCCCAGATAAAGTAGTGAGAGATTGAAATCTTCACAACAAGGACGCACGTGGTCAGAGAATGATTAACTTACCAGCCCGGAAGTGCTACCCTAAATCCTTCGCCGAACACTTGGAATGGATAGTAGCCATTTTAACATCTGTCGCCCAAATAAGCAGTACCAAAGATTCTTTTTCAATTACTGGCATTGATCATGATCGCTCCTAATGTACAACATCCGCCAAATTCTGCCTGTAACTCTCACTTCATTCCCAGCACTTTCTTGGTATCTTCTTCCTTATCCAGCAGCCCCAGATTTCTTACTACTCCTGCTTTCGGCGCATCGTCCCGGGGGTTCGCTTGTTCAGCTTTGTGATATGCGGCTTGAATTGCCATTGTTCTCGCGTGCTAATCATAGAGACAACCTGGTCAGCAAATAATTCTAGGGCTTGCGGTCGAATACCGCCAGTTCCGCGATGGATAAGTACCGACCTCCTTCTTGTGATGTAGGCACTCATAGTAATCCTCCAAGACCGGCGCGCACACTCTCTTTCCTGCATCACTCTCTGTAGAGGTGTTGACGACGTAACAAGCTAAGACTTCTTGCCAGAATGGAAAGCATCGGGAAGGACCTTGAGAGCAATTAGTTAGCCATTGATTTCATTCCAAACACGGAACATCTGCCATTCATTCGCAAGAATGATTCAACACATACCCCCACTAAGACCGTAACCAGATGCCATCTTTTGCGTTGAATTGTGAAGTTTGGAGGGGTTGAGGTTGTAAATGTGATGTTCAATTACAGCATTGAATTAACGCTAACCATACAGGGGTAGTATGCATATGTGCCTCTTATATTAGGCCTGAAAGCCAGACAGCGGGAACTTTCTAGCTGCTGCTATCCGACAGCTTGGTTATATAACACATCGAAAATCCAGTTCCTGACATTTGGGAATGCTCGACCAAAGGGTAGCAATGGCAAACCCAGATTTGGAACCTGCTATGGTTCTATGGCTTGCTATAGACTTTGCAACAAAATCAGATTTACGACTTCTACGAACTCTTGTGTCGCGACATCGAAACATTCTACGAAATGACCTTGTCTTCCGCATACTTCTTACCCATCTACCAGAAAGTTTGGAGTCTTCCAAATATGTGCCATTTATAGAGGACATTTTATCGGGTGAAATCATAGATGATTCGGAGGATACCATTATTTTAGACTCGATCAAAGGCATTAACCCCGCAGAAGTCCATAAAAGGGTCAAGAAATTACATCTCCTTCCTCTACGATGGAAAGATGCGCCGTCGAATATTCTCGACGACCACCTCGTTATGTTTTTGATACAACGTGCATTGCGAATTGACGAAAACACCGGCTTACTCAGTGAAGTTCCAACACTATTAGCTCCTTTCTTATCATATTCATCATATCTACGAACCTGGACAATTTCCACCATTCTACCCCTCCTTCGTCTCAATTACGAATATCACTCAGGTACTCAACCAATACTCACCATACGCGAATTTGAAGCTTTAGATGATGTTAAAGGAACAAAGTACTTGCTCTCAAAGACAGGGAAGGATTCAAGCACATCGGGCGAGGAAAATCAATCCGTAGGGCGAGATTTGCGTGGACTGACTGGCCCATGGCTTTATGGAGACAATAGACGGAAGCGAAGGAAAGTTCAGGATAACTCCACAAAGCAGTCACAAGCAGCAGCATCGTTAGAAAAGGCAGGAATTATAAACCATAAGTACGCTGGTTGGGAATTGGTATTTGCATGGGTCACTGCTGAAGCAGGTATATCTTGGACAACAGCCGTCAAGGCAATTGAACAATGGGATGGGCCAGGAGACGTAGACTTGGGAGGATTTGAGGATGGAACGGAATGGTTAGATGAAGAGGATCAACGCCATTTAGAACAACGATATGCAAAAGCTGCTCTTGCGACAGCTTACCTTATCCCTGAAAGCTCCATGGAAGCTTTGGAAGGTGTTCATCGAATTCTTTCCAGAATTCTTACATTACTTGATATGGATAAGATGCCTACATTGGAAGCAGCAGCAGCTATATTGACTCCTATACCCACCTTTGAGGAAGTTATTTGTAACCGAAAGAATGCAAAGCATCTTCGAAATAATCATTTAGAAGAGAAGAATACCTTGACGAATCCAAATGAATCATCCATTAATTTAATCAAAGCATTACTGGTTAGTGCATATCTCCTCACTAGAGGAGGAGAGGGGTGCACTGTTAAGAGAGCTGGAGAGCTCGCTTTACTCCAAGATGAGCGTGAGCAAATGATGGCATTTAGAGGATTCATCTCCTCGTTTGGTCATCATTCTGGTTCTGATGATCGCTTCTGGATCAAAATGAGGAATGAGTTGTTATGGTTACGAGATTGGGGAGCTGAAGAGTTTGAGGGCACGACCGATGCGAGTCAGGGAAGGGGTGTTTTCGGTCGAATCCACAAAGAATCAATTGAGGTAGAAGCCTTTAAATTGCTCATCGCAAATGCCCGTATGTACCGTATCTACTTCTACCATGCCCCTTCGGTTGTTGACAATCTTCTCATTTAGGATATACTCTTGCTCGATCTATCTATGAAACTCCAGCGGAAAAGCCTATCCCAGAAGAGTATTTGCAACACGCCATCTTTACTGCAGCTGAGAATGCCTACGATATTGCCACAAATCCTAACAAGTCAAGAGGTGGAGTTAAAAAATGCGATGAAATGTAAGTCTTTTTTACCTTTTTATATTGGGGCCACGTGTCCAATTTTGTTCTCCCTTCAATCGCCATTCATGGGACGAAAGAAGAAGATTCTCTATGCATTTATGATCTCATATAGAACTTGCTAACCCATTCTTAAGTCTCAATGCATTTCCAGATACAATAAACGGCCATCCTCGAGCTCAAGAATTACGCAATCTCATTCAAGTAACGGATGAAATAGGCCGTTACAGTTTGGTGTTGAAACAAGGACAGCCATTCAAACCAGTCAGCCTACGAGTCAATCCTGATCCTTTGTCAATCTTGAACAAAATACTTGAACAGAATGACAAAAGCTATACACAAATCAACGACTTTTTACGTATGGCTGGAGAAATGGCCAAAGCCGGTTTAAACATACCAATCCCAGACGGATATCCAACCACTCCTGATTTGAAATTAAAGATCGCCGAAAAACGTGTTATCAGTATGTGTATTGATATGGCTCTTGCGGAAGACGATTTTGAGACAGCTTATTCTTACGTCGTCACTCGTCTCAAGGCTGTTGGTCGTCAAGCACACACACGTATGCCAGAGCTTGAGCGAAGAAATACGGGATGTATTGGTCAACGCCCACCTAGACCAATTGATGATTGGTCATGGCGTGCAGCTTTACAAGCTGGCAAATATCGTAAAAACTCCCAAACTACACGAGCTACTCATCTCGGTAATACTAGTGGAAACCCAGAGATTAGGCATCTCCAACAGAGAATGGATTGCTTGGCTCAAGCTCTACGATTGGCGCCACGGGATACTTTGCAAGAGGTTCTAAACGCATATCGTAGATGTGAGGAAGAGCTCGAAACAATGATCAAGGAAGAGGCAGAACAAGAAGAAGCTTGGGATGAGAAAGCCGATGATAAGAACATGCCAGGCGGTTATGCTGCTACACCTGCCAGAAAATATTCCAACGCCAGAACCCCTCGAAAAAACAAGAATGAAGAGGCACCTGTGTCATTTTTCGATCTTTCAAAAGAAAGTATCACTCGTGCTCAAACAGGGTTATCAGCGCTATCGATGTTCAGAGGAAAGTCACAACGTGCGGAAACTATGGGTGAGAGCCATAATGTTCCCATGCAAGCAGAAGTTCCTGGACCGGCTACAGATCTTACTGGATCTTCAAGTGGACGAACATCATTACGGAAGAGAGATCAACTTCGTAATGCTGCCGTTGGTACTTTGGCTGGTGGAATTGGTTGGTTGATTAACGCGCCGCCTGTTAATGCTAACGCTACATCATCTGAACGCGGAAGTGTCCATTCAAGGAATTCTAGTGGAAGTACTGGTAGAAGTCACGAGGTTCCTGCAGTAGAAGATAGCAAACAGGAAGATGAGGAAATTACTTGGGATGATGAAGATGCTTGGTAAATAAAATGGGGTTCGATTCTTTTGTAGATATGTAACATATTGGGACTTTGGGATGGTTTCATACCTACATATACACAGGCGCTATGGTTCATGAGGCCACGAAAAATCACCAAGAGCTGGATGGGATGGTCTGATTGGAAAATGGGAGTATTATTTGTAATTATTCTAGTTTGCTCTGTACTTTATCTCACCGAGAGCAATTTACATATTCATTACCCACCCCACTCGGTGCACATAATGTTTATAGCTAGCGGTTGATATTATGATGTTGTTTCAAACCTCGTGGTTCATTGCGTATAAGCTCGTCGAAATCATGATCTCATAATTGATTCCCTTGCGCCAAGGCTGACGCGGTTGATAATCTTGTACCTTTCACCGTCGGCCCAGTTGAATTGAATAGTATTGGCATCGTGAGCACAATTGTTCTCTTGCAGGGAAGTATCCTTTTTGGTGGGTACCTTTTGATGATTCAAAAAGTGACAACTGGGGATGCGAAATAGGTGGAGAATATTGGAAAATGCAGAAAATATAATCCGCTTCAAATTGTAGTCTTACTGTCAATCTTTTCACATTTCATAACAACTTGCATATGGTACGCGAAAGATTTATCGGGTGTATCCTGCTTTCTTATTAAGACGGTCTTCACACAAGTTTATATTCAGGGATAACACGATTGTTGGAAGGAAAGCTTTAATTACTATTTTGAGAATGATGCTATCTGCTCGTAAGAACAATGGCAGTATTTGCAGTGCTAAGGACAGCCACCACGAACCAAACTGTGGACATTGATTCCATCGTCCTCCCTGAAGTAAAATTGATCACCCCTACCTGCGCGACATCGCCCTCATACGTTCCCACTTGTCTCCTCTTGCAAACTGCGCTTCTCCTCCACACTTTTTGAAATCTTTCCAAGCCCAAAGGTCACCACCGGGACCATATAATCGAAGTTTGGATGGAAAGTCCGCTGTTTCTCCATGCTATTCCCTCGTACCCTGCATCATTTCAGTGAAATTAGCAAAAAATACTTGCTTAAAGCAATGGCCAGTAGGGAATATCAAAAACGAAGAATAGTCTCATCAAGACATCTCGCCCAAGATCCAAGATCCAAGCTGCAATCAGCACATAAAAGCAGGTAATGAATAATCAGTAAACATCCACCCGTGTCTCAACAAAGAGCACATCCTAATCCGCTCCAACTCCCCAGTTTCAGCAACGGGACTGAAACTTGGAAGTTCAAGAGAATTAGTATGTGCTCTTTGCTGAGAAGCCGGTAGATGCTTACAGGCTATCCACCCACCCGCGTTCATATGCTGATTATTCGTTCGATCTGCAATCCAGGGGAATTTGTTAAACTCAAGAACGAGTCGCTGTTTTGTAGCGCGATCTAACGCGGGAAGTCCTATCCCTTTGGTGATTTGGGCTCATCCTGGTCGACGGTGATGTTTGGCAAGATTTCATTGGACCAGGATGAGCCGGATCTCAGGGGATTTGGATAATGTGGCGGGATTGTCCACTTCAAATTGGATATCTTGAGGCATCTAGAAACATCGCAGACCTTGCAGAGTAGAAGGGTTCCCAACTGCCTGTGTCATGGGCGAGAGGATTTGGTGTAGAATTGGTAGTGGGGTAAGCAGAAGGTGCCCTTGCCAGATTGACTTAAGACGCTCATGGACCGCGCATAGTTGCTTAAACTCGAATTTTCGTTGGTTCTGCAGATGCTCTGCTTCTGGTGGCAAGGGGGAGGCAGAGGAGGGAATTGTTGAAGCGGGGTCATGCGCGCAGCAATCGTGGGAAAGATGTCCTCTTTATGATTAGGATCTTCAGTGGCCGTTCTGATTGATGCCGAAGCAACGGGACGCAATCCTGGACCGGCTGATGAGGGCTGAAGCGGGCCTATTTGTTATGGCCGTGCTCATGTACTGTAAGACATCTCGCTGAAGTCCCAAAGTCGCTTTAGGATTTTCAAACATCAATAGAGTGTCTCGACAATTGTCCATGGCATGTGAACAGCGATCGGTCATTATCGATGCCAAGAAGCAAATCCAGACGCAGCAGCGATTCCTCATTTTCTCTGCGGCAAATAGGATATAAAGGGAATAGTCTCTTTCTCGCTCCTACTAAGAAAGATCTGTAAGACATCTCGCTGAAATTTGACAAAATCAACTGCGGTGATCAGAGAACTGACAAAGCATTGATCGAGCAGACTTTTGAAGTAGCACTTTATCTCAAAAAGAAAAAAAAGAAAACAGCGGAGGAACTTGCGACCTCTTCCTTGTTGATATGAAGAAGGTTGTGAGAACAGCGTAAAAACCTCGATGGAGTTTTTTATCCTGTCAATCCAGTTAGTTCAAAGGTTTGCGAATGTTTAAAAGTGGGATTTGCGAGTACATACTATGATTCCGGTAACTGATAGCAGCTCGAAGGGGTGTTGGTGAACGTGTCGTAGTGGATTGTACACTTATCAATCTCTGGTTATGAGCATCGATCATCCGCGAATAGGAACACGCGAGTCGGCTACTCTTCATTTTAGTGGGCAGCAGCAGGTACCCTTGGGTGAATTTTCCGTCACGTAAGGAATAGCGGGTGTGAAAGACAGGAGAGACAAAGCTTGATTTACTGATGCCTCCGGTAGATCGAATCTGATGAAGAGAGTTTGGAAAGAAGAAAGAAACATGTGACTCTTTCCTTGGCGTTTGCGTGCTGCAATGAGACGTTTAGAATTGAATTCGAATGTTCCTGAACATGAACTCAGGATTGCGACGAATAGCTATTGAATGGATAAAAGATTAGCTCAATGTTACAAAGTTACCGCGGAGAATAATCACCAGCGGTATGATGCCAAAGAAGATGAATGACTTGCTTGATCTGAACCTTCAACAGAGAATACAAATTCCCAATGGAAAGATGCACAATCGATAACTTTGAAAATCTGCTCACATTTGAGTTTTCGGAAGAATTAGAAATGGGGGGTCTTGGGAAGGTGTGTCAGTTAAAAGTGTTACCGCAATGAGAACGAGGTGGTACTCACGTAGGGAGCGACGACCTTTGGAATAGAATACTCGCACGATAGGCGTTTGCTTTTAGTTGTTAAGATACAGTTGTAGAGACGGAAGGAGGTAAGGCTATGTAGAAGATTCTGTTGGCTTCTTTTCTCCCCTTTTCGAACTCCTCTTGAACGGTTTAATTTGGAAAGATAAGATAGTTTTGAAAAAACAAAAACAAAATCTACGTGTGCCGAAATCCACGACCCATGTCACATCCGCCCGTCTTATTCTCCCCCAGTTAACCCGCTCAAGCCCTATTTTTGATTGGAGGTGACTCATTTCCTCCCACTAGACAAGTCCTAATCTCATTAACAGCGTGATCAAAATTCATTCTAGTATTGCAAAAATTTCTTTATCCCTTCCCTTAATTCCCAAATCCAGTTTTCCAAACTTTCTCCAACTACTCTCTCCTATTCGGAGAAACAACGGCTTTTCTTCGAAGCGAAAATCTCACGAAAGGTATTTCAATAATGGTTATTTTTGGATCGATAGATTGATGGTAATTGTTTTTTACAATTCCATCGAGAATCTTTCAAATATTTCTCGTTGCTGATTTGTTTGTTGGAGATTAATAGATCGATTTCAAAGTCTTTTGTCTCGCAGGCTTGTCGCACAATGGTTGATTCTTCGGTGTAAGTCGCGTGAAGAATTCCTTCTTATCTTCTTACCTCGATTACTTACTCATTTGCAATAGACTGCATCGACAAGAAGTCATACACAAAAAAATACCTGCAGTTTGACGAAGACGATAATGGTTCCGAGGACGGTACTAGTGGGTCCCCTGGAAACCCACCACAATCAAGATGGCAGCTTCTCAGAGCCCGTTGGTCCGTACAAGGCCATCTATCTGTTTGGCGCAGAAAGTCTTGATAGCCAAGGTATGTTTAAGCCCCTAGCAGATCAGTCAAATATTCAATCAACTTCCGCTAACAAAAATAGAGCAAGTGGTTCCCTGAGATATCTCCACCATGCGCATGGTGTTCGATCATACCCGTTTCTACACACCATCTACCGAGTTTATCACATCAATGAGACTCGATTTGAGATCCCTCCGCGCCCTCCGAGGGAGAGGAGATGGTAAGAGACGGATATCCATACAACTTCGTAAGTAAACACTACGTCTTACTCCTTTTCCCACATGTCAATAACTATCCTTCACTACAAATCAACGCATAACTACGAATCAAAAATACAGCAGACTCCAAACACCATGATCAAGCTTATATATAAGGGGTGGGCGCCCCTCACATACACAGGAAGATGCGAGCGCACACCCTCTCGAAACCACATCCGAATATAGAATCGAAACTCCAACCGACAAACTCAACTTACTTCAACCTTCAAATTCCAAAGACAAAACAAGACTCCAAAAATCAAAACGACGGAGGGATGAGCAAAGAATGTATACAAGTTCTGCCGAGTTGTCACATCAAAGGAAATTCAATTTGAGGAACTCCTCGTATCCCGAGGAGATTGTAAGAGATGGATACCCATATTATTCCAAGAAAAATAGTGGCCGCATGGTGATGGCAAGAATGGGTGCTGGGATTCGTGGAGAGAAGAAGTTTAGTTTTGTGGTTCTGGAGTTTGGGGAAGGATATTCTTACGAGGAGTTTTTTCGTCTTTGAGAAGGATTATGAGAAGTATCATGGGAAATTAATGAATGGTATTTCCATCAGCTTGGTGAAGAAACTGCGTTGAGAATCCTGGCGCCTTGAAATTGTGGTTATGTGAAAATAGTAATGACTTGTTTGAATTTTGAATTTTGTACTCAGTGATGTGGAACCAAAGAGACTCAATCAATACTACATTATTCCCAAACCTGAAATCCATCCACCATCCCCATCATCTCCATCATTCATTCCTCCTCTCTACCCCATCCCATCCTATCCCATCCCATCCTATCCCATCCCTTCCACTCCCCTCCCATCCTCCCCATCTCCACCAACACTCTACCTCATCCTCGCCGTAATAAAAAATTCACTTCCCTATCACATTCCGCCTCTTCCGGGGGTTCAAAAACCGCCTTCCCCTCCTTCACAATCTCAAATCCATTCTCCGCCAAAACTTCCTCCCATCCTAGTTGCGTGTACAGAAAATTCGTGTTCACTTCGCCCATGAATTTTCCCGGGACATGTTCTGCGTAGCGCTAGCACGAGTTTATAATCAGTATTGTCATTTCTCTAATCTCTATAGCGAACAAAAAAAAAAGAAAAAGAAATAAAGAAATAGATACCCACCCCATCATCCGAAACCACCCCCTCCCCAATCCCCACCGCATCCTCCGCCGCAATCGTCCCCACAAAAAACATATCCCTCCCCACCCCCCTTCACCCACTCCCTCCACCTCCCCACCGCCCTCCGCATTTCCTCTCTCGTGAAATGAAACATGGATAGCACAACAAACATGCCATCATATTTGAGCCCCTCTCTCGGTACATAATCCAACATACTCACCAACTCGAATGTTCCCGCCGGAACATTTTCCCGCGAGCGAGCGATCATCTTGCGTGAGATGTCGATGCCGTGCACTTTGCGACCGGAGTTCGTCACCGCGAGGGAGGTGGGAATGCCGGTTCCGCATCCGACGTCTAGGACCTGGGTGAGGGAGGTTAGTTAGTTAGTTGGTTGATTTGAGATTGGGTTAGATAAGGCGGGGGAACGCAATTCCCTGTGTGTTTTTCACAAGAGGGGGAGATATAGTGATTCATTCAACATCTTTGAGAAAGTGAATAAGAAAAAGTACATCTCCTGAATCCAATGCCTCATCTCCCAATCCCAAGAATCCCCACAGAAACCCCCAACACACGAAAAAATCCATCCATCCACACATCACTCACCTCAGCATCCCTCGGCAGCAACTCCAAACTCTCTCTGACAAAATCCAACAAGCCCTGATTCTGCGCATAATACTTATCATAGCGATCACTAATACTATCGTAGAATTGCGGTGCCACGTCGGCACTGATGATATTTGGGGTTTGCATTGTATGTGTGTATGTGTATGTATGTATGTGTATCTTCCATGCACGACAAACAAATAAAATCACAAAAACAAAATCACAAAAATTGTTAGAATAAAACTTTAAAGAAAAAGTTTTAAAAAAGAGAAAAGAGAAATACTTCTTTTCTTATATATATAAATAAGAAAATACAATACCTACCTAGGTATCTAGATACCTAATACATACAAATGCACATCACACAAGATCCAAGCGGCCTCGCAGCCTCGCAGCTAGCTTATAAGCATTACATCACATCACATCACGACTACCTACCTAGCAGGTATTTGGAAGAAAAAAGAGGGGTAGAAGGGTAAGTAAGCTCGGTAAGTAAGTACTAGGTAAGTGAGTGAGTGAGTGGTTTATTACCTTGTAAATATCTATTCTTCTATTATCCAAATCCATACAAACCCGCACGAGCCATACACATCCCAACTTCCCCTCTCGGAAAGAAATGCATGCATGCATGCAGCTAGTCTTCTTCCTTCCAGCTATTTACCCTTCTAACTATCTAATTATCTAACTACATCCCACCATACCATATCATTCTCCCATTTCAGACATACAGTACAACATACAGCACAAACTTCACTGCGGGGTACCTCGTATCAATATCAATATCAAGATCAATATCAGCATGACAGCATCACAGCATCACAGTACCTACTCGTAGCAAATAAACAAGGAAGAATATATCGTATTGCATATTGCATATTGCATACTTATTACATATTACATATACCCGAACAAGCGATCCATTCATCCATTCATTCATCCACATCACTTCCACATCCCTCTCCATCTATCCCTCTCCAAATCTCCATCCATCTATCCACATCACTTCCACATCACTTCCAAATCTCCATCCATCCAATCATCCCCCTCCACTCCTCTCCAAATCTTCATCCATCCCCATCCAAATCCTCCAAATCCTCCAAATCCTCCAAATCCTCCATTTCCCCCATTTCCCCCATCATTTCCCTTATCAAATCCCTCATTTCCCCTATGAAAAATCAAATATTAAACCCCTCATTTCCCCTATGAAAAATCAAAATTTCAAAGTAATCCCCCCCCCCCAAGAAATCCCACTAGGAAAACAAAATTGAATAAGAAATAACCAAACCACATCTACTTCTGTTCTACTCTAAATCATCATAATAAACCATCTCCACCAAGGCAAGATAAGGCAAGAAATCAAGTAAAGTAAAGTAGAGTCAGTCACCAAAGTAAAATAATATAAGTACCTAAGTATAATACAAATGACATTTTCCCATCTCAGCCAGCCATAGATAGGTAGCTCAAGCAAGCCAAACCAAGCCAAGCCAAGCCAAGTCAAGCTCATGCCCATCCATCCATCCATGCATGCTTCCAAGCTTCCCCTTTAAATCTGATCTGCAATTGAACTCTTAATAATCTCAAGTTTTCTTAAAAATCTCTTTACTTTTTCTCTCTACTCCTTTGCCCATTCATTCTCCAATGATGTTTTTCCATTTGCAAATCCCCATCATAATATTACCAAGCAATCGTACAATCCATATCAATCCACCCATTCCCACCCATTATCCCTTCATAATACCCATATCACCTTATATCCTCATACTTCTATGCCATATCCACATCTCCATCTGCCATGGCCAACCTCTCTTTAGCTGTCTTTGCCTTTTTACTTCTCCCACCACTAGCAGTCTTTCTACTCGATCCTTTTTTCGCGCTAGAATCACCTGCAATAGGTGTTGCAGTACCACTGGGTCTATTAGATCCATCGTCAAAATGTCCTTCGCCTATTCACCATAGTTAGTAAAAATTCTCATAATCATCTCATGGTACTCATCCCATCCTTCTTTTAAAGAATGAAATTAAACCACGCTATGTAAATCTAAAGATGGGACTAAAACTCACCCTCATGATAAAGATCCTCCAAACTGCCAGCACCCTCCTTGGCCTTCTTTCCTTTACTCTTACCCTTCTTATTTAGATTAGGGTTCTCAGCTTCATATCTCGCCTGTTCAGCGGCCTTCCTCTCAATTTCCGCAGCTTCTTCATCATCCACCAACCACATGGCAATATCCTTGGTTCTATTCTCTTTACTTCTGGCATTGAAGTCTACACCACCACCAGCACCACCAGTCATAACAACCTTTTGAACCTCTTCTTTTTGAAGTGCTCTCTTACGAATTCGTTCTTCAATAGTACCACGAGTAATCATACGATAAACAGTAACTTGTCTCGTTTGACCTAAACGATGAGCTCGATCCATAGCTTGACTATCAATTGTAGGATTCCAATCAGAATCATAAAAGATGACTGTATCCGCACTTGTAAGATTAATACCCAAACCACCAGCTCTTGTACTTAACAAAAAGATGAAAATTTCTGGTCGAGTTTGGAAATCATGAACAGTATCTCTTCGATCTTCAAGTTTGGTAGAACCGTCAAGACGAAGGTATTTATAATTGCGATATGTCAAATACTCTTCCATGAGATCAATCATACGTGTCATTTGGAAATACAAAAGAACGCGATGACCACCTTCCTTGAGTTTGGTGAGCAAAGCATCAAGCTTAGCAAGCTTACCAGAATCGGTAACAAAGCGACGCATGGATGGTACTTTGATATTGGTGAAGCGTTGTTTTTCGGAGGTAGGTGCTGGTAACATTGGCTTTGGCGGATAGAATGATGGTGAAACCTTGGAGGTAATAAATGCCTTTTCTTCAACAGGTGAAGGACCAAATAAGGCGCGTCTCATCGAAACATTGAACAAAATCTTTTGTCTCTCGAGAACAGCACCTCGACTAGAACAATCGACTTCAATAGGAGGAGCGGTTGCACTTGGTCGACCACATTGTTCCATTCGGCTTATACCAGATTCATCCCAAACATTCTTAGCCACATTGAAGAGTTTGTTGAGGTATCCCTCATTTGTGACTTCAGCAAGAGGCTTGCGATCTTTCCTCTCGACAATTTGAAGCATAGCATGAACCGGGGTATAATTCTTGTCTTCCTCTTCATCATAGACAATGCTAAGCCTACCAAGACTTTGTGGCTTCTTTACAATATCCACAGCACGAGCAAAAACATCCTTGCTCGAAGCTGTAGATGCCTCTTGAACTGAGGTATTTGCAAAACGAAGCCATGAGAATGCACCATCTTCTTTGGAACTGTCAACGATGTTCTCAGGCTTCCAAACATTGAAAAGTGATTCCAAGCATTTGGCCTTGACACCGGCACCTTCATTATCTCGTCCAGGCAAGTCAAGTCGTCCACCTTCACGCCATACCAATCGAGGTAGAGAGTACTGAATCAGATTACGTGCCGAGTAAGCCACGGTGACATTAGGACCTTCTCTCAAGAACGAACCCGCTTCGGCAAAGTAACTGAAAGATAAAGGCGACGTAGTTTCGGCACGTTCGAAAAGATCTGGATGATTACAAACCTTTCGGAATTGCATTACCAAATTCATCAACGTACCAGTATCATTATCATCTCCAATTGTGGCTTTCTCGATGAGATCCATGATACTGATTTGATTTCGAAGGTTGCTGTAGTATGCTCTTTGACGATAGGTAAGATCACAGAAGATATCTTCTTCAATCTTATCACCCAATTCCTTCTGCACATGCTTCTTGACACGACGAAGCATAAAAGGCTTCAAAATCATGTGCAAACGTTTGAGTTGATCCTCGTTCAGTTTGGTGTTACTTTGAGCATGACTTTCAATATCCTTAGAAAACCATTCACTGAATTCGTCATGAGAATCGAACAAACTAGGCATGATGAAATGTAATAGAGCCCAAAGTTCTTGCATATTATTTTGAATTGGAGTGCCGGTTAGCAGAAGACGATTTCTGCAATGGAAACCAAGTAGACTCTTCCATCTAGAACTTTGTGAACTCTTGATAGCTTGAGCCTCATCCAAGATCATGTATTGCCACTTCATCTTTTGGAAATAGGCGACATCCGAGACGACAAGTTGATAGGATGTAATGAGGACATGGAAAGGAGCTTCCTCGGTATAAGTGATATGCTTACGATCCCAGAACTTTCGAAGAACCTTTCGATCAGCTGCTGTGCCCCAGTAAGGTAATACCTTTAACTTTGGAACGAATTTGGTGATTTCTTGTTGCCAGTTGTGAAGTGTTGATGCAGGAGCAACGACTAAGAACGGACCCCAGATACCATGTTTCTCCGCCAAATAAGCCATGACCGAAATAGATTGAACAGTCTTACCAAGACCCATCTCATCTGCCAAGATACCATTGATACCTTGTTCATAAAGATTGACGAGCCAGTTGAGACCCTTGAGTTGATATTCCTTGAGTTGAGCTTGAAGCATTTTAGGTTGTTCAATATCGACATCTCCCATACCGGCAGGATTTTGAAAGTTCATCTCCCCATCGTTATCCATAGCAGGCGCATCATCTTGTTTATTGAACGCTCTGGCCTTGTTCTGGGCTTCTTGAATAGCATTTTGAGCATTAGCCATGGCAGCAGCTTTCAATACAGATTCATCCTCAGCATCAAAGTCAAGATCTTCAAAATTCGTGACCTTTGCAGGAGCAGAACCTTCAGGTAGATCAATATCATCTGGTTTCGAATGATTTGGCTCGGCCGGTGCCGCAACATCAGGGTGATCGGTAGATCTCTCAACTTCGTCCGTCTTGATTTTCTTGCCGATGAAATGAGAGTAAAGTTCAGTCTGTGAAATAAGGAAGTTGAGCTTCCTCTTTTGTCTATTTGCTTCACGATCGGCTTCGGCTTTCTTGGCATTTTCAATCTCCTGTTTCTCGGCGGCTCTTCGAGTATCACGTTCTTCACGTTCGTTGCGTTTCCAGAAAGACATCATCTCTCGCATAACACGTTTGGCACGAGCTTGAAGATCCTTGGTGCCCTTGTTTGTTCGTAATTGCCATCGTTTGGCTTCCTTTGAGGCTAGAATTGCAGTCTTCTTCAAATTCGATCCTCGAATGGAGTAAGAATCCATAGCCAATTTGAAAACCTTGGGAACCTCTTTTCGGGCAAGATCTTTCCAAATTTGATCATAGACAACGTGAAACATTTTCGTATTATGTTGATCAACAGGAACAGGAGGAGATTCTTCCTTAACTTCCACCGGTTCTACTGGTGCCTTCAACTTGAGCTTGATCTTTGTACCTCCTTCTTTCGATGGAAGTGGCTTCATGTCTCTAAACTCTGTCGCATCCCTAATTGGCATGAGTGCTGGTGATTCACCTTTATCGATTGCCTCTTGAGCTGCTGCTGCCGAATCTTTCTCTGCTTGCTTCTGTTCCTTGGACTTTCTAGGGCGAGCACCACCGCGTTTTGGTTTCTTGGTTGAATCAGGATCGACAGCTGTAAACGTCGACATACTACCGCCCTGCATATTAGGTTCCATAGGCGAAACGGCTCGAATCTCTGGACCCTTATCTCCTCTAGCAAGTACCAATTTAGTCTGTTGTGCCTTCTTCTCAGCTCTCTGGGCATCTCGAAGGAACTTATTTCTGTCTTGATCATCCAGTGCTTCTTTAGCCTTGGCCAGAGCAAGTTCCTTTGCTTCCATGTTATGCTGAACAGTCTTTTCGCGACGACGCTTCCTCTGCATATCTTTCTTACGCTCCTTTTCTGTTTGGATTTCATCGGCTTGGACTTTGGAGATGGCTGCATCTCCTTCGACCTCTCTATAGCGCTCTTCACCCGCTTTAGCATGCTTCCCCATCTTCTTGGTCATCAAGTTGGAATAATCAGTTCGACGCTTCTTGGTTTTGGCAATTTCCAGATTCTCGACCTCGATTTTTCGTTTGAGTGATCGTGTCTCATACAGTTTCTTCTCTTCTGCAAATTCCATGTCGCTATCTTCCGGTTCTCTATCTAGCTTTGACATCAGAATAACAATATCCCTTTCTTGATCCTTTGTAAATGGCTTAGGTTTTGGTGTAGATTTCGCTTCTCCATTCGCCTTGCGCTTTGCGGGTACTCGTGAGGTTGTAGGTGGTGGAGGAGCTGGTGCGATGGACGATTGTCGAGAACTAGGGGCTGGAGAGGGTTCCGGCTTCAACGTAGGCATAGCTGGTCGTGAAGGTTTGCGAGGTTTTGATGCGGCGGGAGTGGGAGTGGATTGAGGCTTTGGTGTTGGCGTTGGTTCAGGAGCAGCGCTAGATAATATACTCGAGAAGGACATTGGATCTGCTGGTCTGCTTGGAGTCTGAAAGGCAATAAATTAGATGATGTTGATAAAAGTAGAAGGTGAACATAGTTTTGACTTACACTAGCAGGTACAGGTTCTTGTTTAATGACTGGCCTGTCATGCTGTACTGGCCCTCCACTTATCCCATTATGCCGACTCACTGGTGATTCCATCGTGGTCAATCGTGGTGATTGTGTGACTGGAGGAGGTACGCGACCTTGTGGGTGCGCGTGTGAGATGGGGGATCGCGGTGGAAAATGAGAATTAACAGGAGATTTATAGACGCCGTTATATTGATTTAGTGAACCATTCGCAGATGATTCAGGTGGTGGATTTTGGTTGTATGGATAAGATTCACGATTCTTTTGTGAGATGTTAGGAGATTGACTATCCTTTTCGTGGGTGTGTGGGAAATATCTTACTTGTGATGTCTTAGCTTCCCTATCGCTCCATATAGATTCCGTAACCGTAGGTCTTCTCTCACTCGAGTCGGAAGTCGGGTCGTAGTAATTGCTGGGTGGTTTTTGATCGCGTTGATAAGTAGAATCTCTTTCCTTTTGATGCAAAGGGGCACTTAGACCCAAGGCTGAAGTTGAAGTTGTCGGAAGAGGAATGTGTGCTGGTTGTATAAGTTGAGGTACGGCCGCTGGTTGATGATATTGATTGAATGGTGGAGGTGCGCCAGGTGAAAAAGTTGATGGGTTAAGGATTGAACGAATTTCCGTTTGTGATTGTTGTCTCGGTGAAGCAACGTCGCGAATTATGTTTGAGCCGCTGACGCTGGTTGTGCTTGGTCCATTCATTATCCCATCTCGCCTTATTGAAGAGACAGCCTCTTCTTGATCATCTTCTGCCCGTCGCATCACTGTAGCATGAAATCTCGAGTCCATATTTGAATTTGGCACCCCTTCCACTCCCATATATATAACCAGGTACTTAAGTTTATATTTTATCGATCTAGCGCTCCATGGATCAAATTCCGAGAGGGTTGCGATGCGCCAACGAGAATACTGAGGAGATTCGGAATTCTGGAATTTGAATTGGGAATTGGTACCAGACGACTTGAATATTTTCTTTTTCTTGATGGGTTATTGATACAACGAAATTAGAAACTTCTCTCTTATCACAATCATCAATCACTTTAAAAAAAACATCCAAGATGAGAAATTTCATTCCAGTGAATCGAGATGTACCTAAGTAGGTATACAATGAAGAGGTCGAATATATTGGATTGGACGATAAAGTTGTGAGTGAATTGATCAAGGAAAGAAAGAAGTAATTGATAATTGGCAAGCAATGTGTGGAAGTGATAACAGTCGTCGGTATCTAGGCAGAGAGTCGGTAGGTAGGTTGGTGGTATACTGATACAATACAAATGAATGGAAGTATCTTGATCTCGATTGCCGTTTCCGCGACGTTGAATTGTCAACCCGTTCTCTTAATAATATGTTGGTAGGTAGAGGAAGAGAGGAAGTTGATTCGATTCGATTTGAGTTTGAGTTTGAAAGATCATCATACGATTGATTCTTCAGCCAGCCAGGCAAAAATGCGCGCCTAGGAGAGAGAGAGGGAGAGAAAGGTATGAAAGAGAAGACGATTAATTAAGTCAAGTAAGTTGTGAGTGAGGTTTAAGGAGAGTTCCGAAAATTGGGTTGTTGGTTAGATTGATCGATTGATCGATTGATTGATTGATTGATTGATTGATTGATTGATTGATTGATTGATTGATGATTAGAGAAGAAGCAACTCATCACGACATTCCATGTTTCCCTTATGATGTTATGGATTTCCTTGGAAGTGTTACCTACGACCTAATTACCTAGGTATGATATTGACATGTCCAAAATTAGAAGATATACTTATTATCAACGGTACCTCGGAATCGAGATGTCAAAATATCATGGAAAGAATCGATCCAAAATAAAACAAATTCCTTAGAGATGGTTCTTCATATTCGAATCCAACAACAATACACCAATTTCTCATTTTCTTGGGGTCACAAAGGATAATGCCCCATTCATTCCAGATCTGGACTTTCTTAATCTCACTCACGTAGGTGTAGTGTAGTTGGAGTGAAGCGTTCCTTATTTTCCTCACACTCTTGGGAGTGAAGAGAAAGGTGTGGTTTGAGAGCTGCGTTCTTTTCACGTTATGACATCGTAACTCTCATATGATTGGCTGATGAATGGGTCTAGAAGAAGAAATCACCCCTGCATGCTCGAGTACCTAGAGAGAATGTGAGCTTTGATCCCATGGATGTAATTTATGTAGTGGAGGTAATCATCGTACAAAGTACGGAGTAAATCATCCATCCTGATTGATTCCTCAGGCAGGTAGGTATACTCAGCTCAACTCAACTCGTAGAAGAAGAGAAAGGGAAAAGAGGTTTCCCATACAAAGAATAAGTCAAAGAATACTACCGGGACTAGATCTATCTTCACTACCTACTCGTCTCATCCCTTCACTCTTCCACAATCATTCTTTTTCTTCTTTCTTTCTTTCTTCTCTCTTATAATTTCTTTCTTCACTCCCACTTCCACTCCCACCACTATACCACCTCATCCCATCCCGTAATATTCTCTCCTCTCTCCCTCCTCTCCCTCCTCCCTTCAACATCCAGCCTCAATCCAAGCCCCACAACCACCATCTCATCCTATCCCAATGATCCCATCCCCAATCCCCGTCCCCTTCAACGCCACCAACACATTCCCCGTCTCGCCCATTAACCGAATACCTACACACAACCACACCACACACTTCTATTGTAACCCCATCCAGAACAATTTCCACAGAAATATCTATGTACTCGATTTTCCTACTCGGAACCGGCGCCTTGTTAAAATTGAATGTACTGTAACACTTTCTTTCTTCCTTCCTTTCAATCATTCAATCAATCCACAATTTCGGCAATTACATAACCATCCATCTATCCCAGAAATCCAAGGTCCAAACATTCCCCTCTTATCTTTCTTTTAGGAAATACTAGGTAATCAAGACTCAATAATCAAGACTCAAGGGGACTATCGTCTGTCATCTATCATCTAGAAATCATCAAAAAAAAATACCTACTGACCTACACTCCAAATTTACCACAGTTGTAAAATGCCACCCATCACCCTCCAAGTTCCAACATGGCGGGGTCCTATGGAATACAAGAGATTGACTAAATACCTACCTGCGCCATGCATCCCAGCCCTATCACTCACAAATCAAAGACATCATTACAATCACAAAACTTTCACATCACTCTTCAACCATCAAAACAACAAATTCATGTAATAATGTTCATTCTCTCCAGTAAATTCTGCACCGAATTAACGCCATCTAAAACAGACTCGCATTCTATCCCACCAAAAGAAAGCGGTGTTTCATCAAATCATCCACCGCCCTAATCCCTCCGCGGCCTCCTCAATTTCGGGTCATGAGAGGGATATCCCTTGATGAATGCCACCCCGTATGTGTAGTCGTCCGTAGATGCATCAATCAAACTTTTGTTTTTGGACCGAATATTGTACGGAATTTGGTTAATATATAGTCAATTTAAACAGCACCTGCAGAAACCATCTTCTTTCTCAAGTGGTTCTTGTACTCGGCGATAGTACCATCCCATCTCTTGATGGTTTGGTTCTCGCAAACCATAATATCCTTGGCAATCTTATCGAGTAATCTATATATAATTAGCACATGATTCGTTTAACCAGAATCAAAAATGCTTACCTGAAATCGTGAGAAACAACAACAACACCACCGGTGAAAGCATTGATAGCATCAGCCAAACTGTCAATAGTAGGAATATCCAAACCGTTGGTAGGTTCATCCAACAACAACATGTTTGGTCCATCGATAGCCAACAAAGCAAAAACAATTCTGGACTTTTGTCCTTCGGAAAGAGTACCCATCAATGCGGTTTGTGATTCACCACTGAGACCATACTTTCCAAGTTGTTGACGCCAGTATTGGTAATCTTGACTCTTTGAGGCATACTTATCTCTGACGAAGTCCAATGCGGACTTGGTGAGATCCAATTGTTCAGAAGAATGTTGAGAGTAAACACCCATCTTCAAATGTGTGTGACGAGAAACAGTTCCTCCAGTAGGAGAAAGCTTTCCAGTCATAAGACGGAGAAGGGTGGATTTACCAACACCGTTGGGTCCGACGAGAGCAGTACGGGAGTCCATGTCAACACCAAGGTCGAGGTTTCGGTAGAGATCATCCTTGGAATCACCGGAGTATGAGAAAGTGACATCATCGAAAGACAAAACTGGTGGTGGAAGCTTCTCAACATCTGCGAATCTGAAAGTGAAGACACGATCCTCCTCAACCTTTTGAATGAAACCATCGGCCTCCATCTTGTCCAAAATCTTTTGTCTAGATTTGGCTTGTCTGACCAAGTTGGCATATGTACCAGCTGAAGCGATGAATTTCTTAATGTGAACAATTTCATCTTGTTGCTTTTGGTAAGCCTTCATTTGGTTGACTTCTTGTTCATATCTAGTCTTCGCGTAAGAATCGTAGTTACCACCGTAGTAGATGAGTTGTCTCGAGCGCATATCGATCATGTTGGTGCATACACCGTTGAGGAAATCCATAGAGTGGGAAACAAGGATGAGGGTTCGGTCCCATTTCTTCAAGTATTCTTCCAACCACACGCAGGCTTCCAAATCCAAATGTGCAGTAGGGTCATCGAGAAGGAGAAGGGAAGGCTTGACGAAAAGAGCTTTGGCCAAAGCGACACGCATACGCCATCCTCCAGACATATCCTTGGTCTTCTTGTGGATAGTGACCTTATTGAAACCGAGACCAGTCAAAATGAGGGATGCACGAGTCGAGAAAGTAGATGGATCCATGGTATCCATACGCTGTTTTCCATTTAGCAAAGTACACGGTATATCTTATCTTTTGAAAAATCTTACCTCGTAGAGATCCAAAAGGACAGGAGATTCTGGTCCTTCCTCTTCCAACAAACGCTCGGCTTCATCATCGAGCCTCTTCATCTCATTCTCTGCTTCTCTGACGACCCATTCCAAGGCACCCAAGTCACTAGGAGGAGCACCCTCGTTTAATAAGTAGATATCGACGTGATCTGGAACAGGGTATTCGCGCATATCGATAGCCTTGAGAAGAGTAGACTTTCCGCAACCGTTCTCTCCCAAGAGACCATAACGACGTCCATATGTAAGTTCCATGGTTGTATCGTTCAAAAGGACACGACCGTGGAAAACCAGCGATGCGGATGTAATCTTAACGTCACGACTTTGCTTGAGGGAACTGAGAACACCAGTTGTAACACGATCAGAGAGACCATGTTTATCCATTTGTGCTGCCAATCTCTTGACTTCATCCATATCCTTTGTCGCAGGTTGCTCCTCATCAGGGAGAACATTTCCATCACCGTCGGTGGCTAATTCGCCAGGTGTTGTGGTACCAGATGCAGCCTTGGAGCCAGCCTTTGATTTGGAAGCAACAGTCTTCTTTGCTGGCTTTCCTTCGGCGGCTCTCTTCGCATCACGAGCGGCTTTTGATGCTGAAACCATGTTGATTAATTATTTGAAGTTATCGTGATAATAATCGATTGTTGAAGGAAGAAATTCTTTGATTTCTTTCTTTTCTTTTTTATCGAGTTGACCTTTTTTTCAGGATGATCGTAATGATGGTGGGGAGAAATCTTTTGGTGGGGGTTTTTTTCTTACACTAAAACACTTCAAGGCTTTTTCATTATCGATTAAGTTAGTGCCACCTGGATTGGGCAGGAAGTTAGTAATTTATGAGTGTGTGTTTATTAATGGAGAGTGGTTTACCGTGGAATATCGATTTCAAGTTCACACTCGTAATTGCCGACTTTTATTCTGATCTTTAGGATATACATTTATCTACAGTGAAGAAAGATTTGTATTGAAGAAACATTTGTATTGAAACGAAGGTGTAAAACATCTTAGTGACTTGGCATAATGTAGTAAAAGTATATCAATCAATTACGGTCTCTCTCTATCTTTCTTCTAGTGAGGTTTGTTGTATACAGTGCATTTGCAACTGCAAGGCTATGTTAGATCACCTCCCCACAGTCTTTCCTTTCACCCACTCCACCAGTCAGGTCCTCTCTAATTCACATTCAAGGCGATAGGCTAAAAATAATCTGACGTAGATAGCGAGCGGATAAGATCACGTGCCAAGGGCTTTCTCCTTGATTGCCACACTGTTGACTTCTGCAGAGTACAAGATTTCAACTTTCAACTTTCTCGCCATCACTCTTGAAATCACTGTTTCACTCTTTAATGCCACGGCTTGCCTATCATTTAGAGTACTTACTCACGTTTCCATCTGATTGGTTTAGAGAAAGCATGCATGCCCAATCTTGAAAGTTTATCAACAATAAGGAAATATGGTCACCATCGAGTACCAACTGTGCAAGTAAATTAGTCATCATATAGATCAACAACATCATGATTTGTCTGTGACAACAAATTGTGAGAGCAAGGCAATGTTCCCCTCCTACTCCAAACATTGTAAACTCCCAGGTTTCAAAAGAATCCACAGATGTATATTGACTCCCTCCATACAATTTACTCGACAGAAAACCAATTCACAACATTATCATTCTAAAAATGCAAATTCATCGGAAATGGACTCTACCATACACATCTTGGGTCTTGGAAATCTGGGAAAGCTCTTTGCGCACTCATTAGCTACAAAACCAAACCCCCCTCCTCTAACATTGTTACTCCATCGCCCAAAACTATATGAAATAGCCAAAGCCAAAGGACCAAAGATTGGGATTCATCATGACGGCGTTTGGAATTGGGAGGGTCAATATAATGCAGAGCTTGTGTCCATGGATGATCTTCCAAGTCCCCTAGATATTAAGTATATATCTAATCTGATAGTCACCACAAAATCTCACAAAACGGCTGAGGCACTTTCCATGATTAAATATCGATTTACCCCTTTGTCAACTATAATCTTCATACACAACGGTATGGGAGTGGTTGAAGAAGTCAATAAGAGCATCTTCCCAGATCCTAAAGAAAGACCACATTATTTATTTGGTATAGCATCTCATGGTGTGTATCGAACAGACGACTTCACAGCTGTCTTTGCAGGCCATGGTTCCGTTATCCTTGGTAATCCAGGGGATGATATTGAGAAGACTCCTCATGGAAGCTATCTCTTGCAACAAGTCATTGACTCAAAACTTCTCGGCGCGAGTGAAGTTCCTTGGGACGAGTTCAAACTCCTTCAATTGCAAAAATTGGCTGTAAATGCAGTCATAAATCCTCTCACTGCCTTGAACGATTGTTTAAACGGTATGATTGTGGAACCTTCCATGGTCGGAGGTATAAGAAGTGACTTTGACGGTCTGATATCCGAAATAAGTCAAGTCTTCTGTTCTCTTCCAGAACTTCAAGGAATTCCGGGCTTGAAAGAAAGGTTTTCAACAGAAAGTTTGCGAAACGCCATTTCGAATGTTGCTTCGGCCACTTCACAAAACAGAAGCTCTATGCTTCAAGATGTTAGTAAGGGCAGTGAAACAGAAATTCATTATATTAATGGATACATTGTGAGAAGAGCACAAGAGTTGGGTATTGAGTGTCCTGTGAATATGAGGATGGTTGCAGATATTCTCGCGGTAGCTGCAAAGTAGAAGGCAATTCTAGATATGCACCGTGGATATATACTAGATAAATCGAACTCGGAAAAGAACATTGAATGTCTGTGTACTCAATCGTTATCATCTCTACCGGCTGTTTGATGGTTGTTCGTACATTCTCCAAGATATGAAGATTGGATATTCACCTGATCGAGCCAACGTTGAACTCCAGCTGAGGGTGTAAGGCACAAATCGGTTCAAAGGGCAAGAGCAAACAAACCGCGAGGCTACCACATCACATATTCACTATTTCCAAGTCAAGTCGCTTACACACATTTTCATCAAAGAATTTCCCAAGATTGATCCATGACATTCACGGGCTCTCAGCCCTACACAAGGCTGTACATGTGATTTGAGAGTAAAGGGGAAAGGCTGAACGTTTTTCAATTCGCGCTGAGAATAACAAATCACGGCGCGAACGCGTCAGTCTCTTCATTTTACTTAGAAATGGAGATCAGTTTTGAGATGGGATCATCTTCAACTTTACAAGTCGGCCCCAAATCGATCTGGCATTCTTTTTGAAAGATCGCCGTCATCTCATTTGGTAAGTCGTGGAGTTTACTACGAAGGATTACCGCATTCTGGTCTTTACCATTCTTTTCTATCCACTTGAATGAAAGGCACTGGAAAGTCTCATTATAACACTTTATTTCTAACATTCTATTGACAGATCCTCTCGAGGTCCTCTTTATCTGCTTCGCAATATAGATCCCTCGATCTTTAAAACAACAGCTCACCGATCTCATCATCTGCGAGTATCCCGCTTCCATCTAAATCATGAATCAACCATGTCAACATCTTCTCGAGAATAATATCAGATCCACCGAAATGTCTACCTATATCCGACCCCGACGTCCTGTGAACCAAAAAGCAACGTTTCATCAATTCGCAAAGCTAGCCCCTGAACTACAAAACATGATTTTCAAAGAAGCTCTTCCCGAAGGCCGAATCATCTCTCTCAAGGCCGTCGAGATTCTCGTCGATGAACCTGATAAATGGACTCGGGAATGGTACGCAGGAGAGAAGTACGGGGGCAAATACAAAAGTGCAAAGCTCGTTGTAAAGACCACTTTACCGGCACTTCTACATGTTAACATTATGGCGAGAGAAGTTGCGTGCAAGGAATATGGACTCGAATTCGCACATTGTTTGAGGAATCCGATATACTTTAATTGGGAAAAGGACACGCTATACATACAATCTGATCGTGCGGTCAAACTGTTCCAAGGGAGTTTACAAATGTTGAAGAGTTTCCAAATTCCGTTATCTCGAGGTCTCGACATTGCTAAGATGGAGGAAAAGCTCAAGTTTTTGATGCTAGGAGAACCTTGTCTATTCAAAAGCACTACGGAGATGATTTCCCGCTTGAGGAATTTGAAGAGATTGGAGCTGAAGGAGGGATGTTTTAGATGGGATCAGAAGATCAAGATTCTGAATACGAGGTGGAAGGAGAGATGGGGAGAAAACTTTATGTACAAATGTGTGGAGTTGGGGAACAAGGAGATGGGGTGGAGAGTGGAGGATAAGAGGGATGGGTATGAGGTTTATGTTAAGCCGAGACGTTCAGAGAGGATAAGAGAGTTGGAGGCTAACAGGAGTCTGGATGATCATGAAGGGGATGAGCGAGCGGGGAGGTGAGATGAAATGGAAGAATTGGGGAGTGCGAGGCGAGGCATAAGAAGAGAAAGACAGGAGGGAGAAAGGATCTCTTTAAATAATCCTACATTTGCACACGTGGGTTAACAATATTAGGTCACCTCTTCAGTACTTTCATTTCAATATTAATTGCAACCTTTAAATACTTCTCATGCAGTTTCAAAGAGCGAAAATATCTATTTGTGAATACCGCCTGGATTTCCAATAGTTTGGAGCATAGTCCAACAGAAATATTCTTGGGCGCCAAAATTATACACCTCGGCCTTTAAAAGAAAGACTTCCAGGCGTCTCCTCGACCTTTCACGCAATGAAGTCAAACCATCCATCTATAGTCTACTAATCCGAATTACTCGGTGCATTATAATCACTACAAGTTCAGTATGTAATCTTACGTTTCCCCGATCTAAGGCTTTCCAAACAGCTTTGGAAATCTTTATTCCTCAACACCTCCTCTCTCTATCAAACTACATAACATAAAAATTATATACAGATGTACACCGGAAGGTGTCTGGTTAGGAGTTCCCTAAAATGAACATCTATTAGAGCGATCTATGTTGAGGTATTACATACGAGGAGCTGTGACGTCTAAATCCTAAGTGTTTCCTTTCATTGTGTGTCTTGTCTTGTCACTTTTGTATATTGTATGCATCATGTTATATTCGATTTCATGATTGCGGGAGAAAGAAAATAGAATTGTATAGGGAGAACGTTGCTCGAGTTTCTCCCACTGAGGTATTGGGATGGTCTGGTTATGGAGTCGTGGATGTGGAAGTAGAGGTGGGAATACTCATGTGGTGCTTTTGGGGGGAATCGTTCTAGAGATTCGATCTACCTCTAGTGTTGAAATCATCTCAAGTTCGAAATCTATCTCGAAGATTAAACATACTCTAAACATCAAAATAACTCAACTCACATATCAAACAATTGGCATTTGCCTCGATCTTCGAGAGCTAAGATCCTGCCCTCGTCCATCTTTTAAGATGGGTACCCCGAATATTTAGATCATCTTTCTTCCCGCCCCTTTGCAAATTGATTCAACACATATTCGTATGTATCTCTTCCGATCATCATTGAATATAATAGACATGGATACCTATTTACAATCACCATAGACAAGGAAATATTGAATCTTCTCACTGATTTAACTTCGAGAACTGCTATACTGCGCTGCGAGAGATCAATGATGAATACCACTATGGATTTGTTCCTAGATTTCGATGGCAATCATATCTTGAATGCGGATGGGATAACGCGGGAAAGTTCATGGATATGATGAGATGCGGTTGGTTATAGGTAGGGTAGTTGTTGAATTGTATAAAACTCATGAGATTATGAGTTCCTCTGATTACTGCTAAAAAATAGTAGTCTAGAGATGGGTGTGGAGGGGAAGAAGTATTCTTTTTATGCTTTTTGTGAGTGAGCTATTATCATGAGAGAGGAAGAGAATTCGCAAGAGGAAATGATGGTTTAGATTGTAGTAAAAAAGACTCTGATGTAATATATGAAATGTATATTTGATGGTATATATCTAGGTGTTATGGATAGAGAATGTGGTCATTGTGTACTCTTGTAGAGCTATATCGTCATACCTATTATCAGTATTCCATAATATCAATTAGTATCCATAAAGAAATAGATAGACTGGACCGAGAATGGATTTTACTACTACTACTACTACTACTACTACTACTACTACTACTACTACTACTACTACTACTACTACTACTACTACTACTACTACTACTACTACTACTACTACTACTACTATTACTATTACTACTACTACTATCCATAAAAAATCCAAACCAACACTAAACCACAAAGTGCCTATTTCCAAGTCTCCAAACCTTAACTCTACACATATGCTCCGCACCCCTCCCATTCCTCCCAAAGAAAAGAAAAATCATAATCTACCTCCAATAACGACTTTTCAAAGCTCTAAAGTAAGTTAGGGTTACACGTGATTAATCACTATAGAAACTTTAAAGGGGGCTAAAATACCTCGCTCGCTTCGAACTGTACCCCATCAACTATGCTAAATACTAGCATTGTCCGAAGAACTTCAACTTTAAGTTCACGAAGAATTTCTTGGAAGGAGGGAATATGGTGTGTGGATTTGAGAATGGTTGTTTAGGTGGATTTGTGAGCTAAGGGGAAGATGTTGGGGATTTTTGGTGTTTGTAGGGAAGGTGTGTTAGGTGTGAGATTTCCTTATGTGGTATAACCTTATATGAGTGATTGGTATGGTTTATTTTGGGAATTAGATAGAATATTGATTAGAATTTTCTATATACATCGGCTCGTAGTAAACTCCTTTCTGGTAAAAAAACCTTCCAAGCCTCTCGCAGCTTTCAAAAATAGACATCTCATTAAAGTATCATTCTTTTCCAATCCTGATGATCATAAAACCCACGTGTAGTAATCTAACATAGATGCTAATATACTAGAAAGCGAAAAAAAACTAGATCACCCTAAAAGATTTCTCATACCCTAATAGAATCTGATATGTGTCAATGACGAAATAGTGTACTTGAGTAGATAATAGCGTTGGACTAGACCAGGTACTAAAAGTGAAAAGCTTGAACCCACACTAGGAATTTTTGTCGTTGAGTAGTCTTAGTCTTGTTCTGAATTGTGTATATAAGAGCGGACTGCTTTCCCATATTTCTTGTTCTGCAATTGTTCATTATTCGATTCTACTTCATACAATCTACTTTCCGATATCTTATCTTACATGTGATAACTATACATTCGACGAATTACCAGTATCTTACCTCTGATATATTCATCTCATTTGATACATTCTGGCATCTTCAGTCATCTTCAGCATCATACTCCCAATATCCTATATCTTATATCATCATACTAAACAAATACGTTCACATCAAACCTCAAATCACAGCCTCCTATCCCCACAACGAAACATGACCGATCCAACAAAACCGTCAGAAACCATGGCGACCCACCCCCCCCTTTTACAACCAAAGGCCGAATCCTCATTCCATCGCTTCAAGGACGTCCCCTACACAATCCGAGCCAAAATCTGGGAATACAGCTTACCCGAACCACGCATCATCCACATGTCATCAATGAGCACACGGGCACAAATCCATCGATTTCTCAACCGCCCCGAGACGTGGGGACAGTCCAGTTTGCAATTCTGTTTCTACGAAAATGGGAGTGACCTCTACCGAGGAGACGAGACCCAGCCCGAGAAATCCCCCCCTCCGATCTGCCTGTCGGGAATCTCGTGAAATCTGGCTGCAAAACTACATCATATCCGAGATTCAATTATCGCATGAATGGGAAGTCAAATTGGGTGTGAAGCCGCACGCGTTTGGGAACTGCAGAAATACACAGTGTGTAAGGCTCAAGGCTCGTTACCCGGTTCGATCCCATATGATACCACACGAACACAAATATTATTTGAATTCGGATGGGAGATTATTCTACGTTGTTGTTCGTGGTTTCATCGACATGGGTCGCGATACTTTGATTATGGATCCCGTACTTTTTTCCTTGGTCAATGGCGATTTGGGATTGGGACCTCAACATCTCAAGCTAAGGTCCATAGCATATACTTCCAGCATCGAGTATCGTCCATTGTGGAAGCCACCGGGAAATAATGGAAGATATGAGGTAGTTGAAGGCATTCGACTCTTGATCTCTGATAGAGGTAGTGGCTATCATGTAGCAGATCCCGATATCAACGAGACTTTCGTCGACTTACAAGCCGGCAATGCAAGGAATGCTCTTGTGCGTATTGGGGAACCGGAAGATCTCCCTGCAGATAAGGAGAAGAATATTGCAAGCAAAGATATGTGGAACTTCATTACCCAGTGCTGCCCACAGATTTCCAGTATCCAATATATCCTTCTTGGTGAAACAAACACTGCAATCGTCAATTGGGGCGATCCTGGCAATCCACCTGGGCGAAAGGTGGATGGGAAATACACGGCATCATCTCTTGCCACTCTATCCTTCTGTCCGGGAGATTATCATGAGCCCAATTAATGCACCAAGATACAATTGGATTTGGGGGAGGGGGACCAATTTCGGATTGCCCATCGTTGGAATCCAGTCTCATTTTAACAATAGATTGAACCACGGGGTGCAACTAGAAAAGGATTTTCAAGATTACATAAAGGAACATGAGAATTCTGGCAACAGACACTTCTGGCATGGATTAAAATTTCAAGTATGTGCTTTAGGGGATGCTGTGAGGCTAAATGTCTCCGCAATTACCCGAGGCCAAGGCGGCACACAAGTATTGATGGGTGAAGATTTTTTCGACGTGGAATCCGAACGGTGAAATACCATTTGAGTTTACCAGTGGAAAAGTCTCACCATCTTCTTCGTCTTCGTCTCTACCTTCATATCCAGAAGAACGCGGGTCTGGAAACTCTATTTCCCAAAACAAGGGACAAAAAGTCAAAGTCCCAATGAGAGAAGATGAGAGATGCTTTCTTCATCTAGAAAAGGGTGCTTATCTCCACTGGGATCCCAGGGGAGCACCCATTCAAGTCACTCGAAATGTTTATGCCGGCGTTCAAGCCCTTTTTGAAAGGGCCTGGCAGGATCATCTTGACTATGAAACCAATCGTAGAAATGAAGCCTATCTTGAATGTGGATGCCATCTTGGACAACGATCCTTTTTTGTACATGGATTGGATTTTGAAGAATAATTCAGCTTTGGTAGTCAGTCTTAGAAATGAAGACCTGGATATATGAGTTGAGTGCTTCCACGTTTAGAAGGTCTTAGAGCCTGTACTATTAAAGTCCATTGACCACACGTACACATACAATGAAGATATTTGAATGTCACAACGGAATTTTGGACTTTGGTCGACTTTAGTCATCTGTTTGGCGTTTGTGAAATGGAAAGTCTGAGAGAAGGGCAAACGGGTGTTTAAAGGAGGGGTTTGGTGGGTGAATGTTCTGAGACTGAAAATCAAGACCGCAGGTTCACTTGAACTCTCCAACATTCGAAATCTAGTCTTAGTTCTAGCGGTATATACCTGTAGAGCAACGTTTTTGATAGGTCATTTGTAAAATAGATGATTTTTAGATTGTCTGCGGGTATACACAATCTTTGTGCAATCTGTTCATAAAATGCTAGCTGCCCTCTCTGCCACAGTGCCACAAGTATTTGGGTATATTTCATCACTGTAGACCTTGAATTCAACAATTGCTTTTGCCATAATGATCTATTTGTAGACCTCGAGTAGAAGTTTGCATGTGATTTTCGGGAATGATGAGATTGATTTTGTAGCAACATGAATCAATTGATATCCTTATACTATGTAAGAGAGGAATGAGTTATGGGCCAGCGAAAGAAGATAAAACAAGAAAAAAAAGTTCTTTGTAAATTAGTTTTCCTTCAAACTTAAGAAAAGAAATTTAAAAAAAAATTGAGAATGTAAATTAAAAAAATAACCTCAATATTCAATGAGTTAATGAGTTAAACCTGCGTGTTTCAAACCACAATATCCACTTGGATATCGTGGTTGATAGAATTGACAGACAGAAATTGACAGACAAAAATTGACAGACAAAAATCAACAAGCAATTTGAAAAACAATTGATTTATAGCCCCATATCTAATAATGAACTTCCAATCCCCAAGATATCAACTCCAGGTATAGCGCCACAACTCGGATCGTTCATTCTTGCCACCCACCATCTTTCCCTTCTATAACCAGAGACTCAACTCATGTCTCAGCTCAATCCTACACTAGCTCTTCAATACATCAGCGCCACCGTTCATTGAAGCTCTCTTCAACCCCGTGAACTCTCGATCTAGGCCATAACGTTAATGCTTAACGACTTCCTTATGATACGACGCTTTTGCCTGGAACCCCAAGACTTGTCAGCTTATGTACTTCAACCATTCGCTTTCTTTCATCCCTCTTCTCTCCTCTCCGGTCTCCCTCAATTTCGGAGCCCAAACTCCCTTTTTTCCTCGCCCTCACTCTCATTGCCCCTACCCTTACCCATCCACTCATCCACACCACCACTGACCACAACATTCCCTCACCAAACACCTCATCAACTCTCCAAACACCACAACTCCATCTTCAACATCCCACAAGCACTCGAGAAAAAGAAAAGGGTATCCATACATCATGACCATGTTTCTCAATCTTATCACCCACCGCCTTCACAGCCGCATGCACACGAGTACTAATGGGCATATTGCGATCTTTCGCTATACCTGCCACGCAAACCTATTAGCCTGGTAATTCTACTCCTAATGTCAAGAATGAAGATAGAACTCACTCTTATTAATCTCCTTACTACTCTCCTTCCCCCCAGCCTTCGTCTTCTCCGCAACATAATTCGAGGCATTTCTAAACAGAGCAAGCACACCGAATCAGTATATTCTCAACCTTTCAACCTTTGCAGCTTTCCCATCCAGATCTCTACTACTACAACAACAACAATCCATCCCATTCCATTCCACGAAAGAATCCCCAGATCAACTTCTAAGCAAGATGAAATCTCGCAACAAGCAACTCGCAACAAAGAAATAACAAATTCATCTAGATCCCCATTCCCATCCCGAATTCCTGATCTCAAATCTCAAACAAACTTTCCCCCTCCCCCTCCCTCTCCCCCTCATCCCCTCATTCCAAACATCAGCAGCACCGCAATCCCACCTCCTCAAAATCCCAGCCCCTCAAACTCTCAAAACTCACAAAACCAAAACCACAAACCAAAAAGAGAGACGAACTTAATAGAATGCATATTTGTATATGTATGTATGTATGTATGTATGTATGTATGTATGTATGTGTATACGATTCTGTATACCAGAAATCAATTCCTTCTGATCTTGCTCACTCCGAGTTTCCAGTTTCGGGTTTCCAGTTCAGGATAGATAAATGGACGAAAAAACAAGTAAATCCAATCCGATTCTGATTCCGATTCCAATTCCGATTCCAATTCCAATTCTGATTCTGATTCTGATATGTATGTATGTATATTCGTTCTGGATCCAGGTAGGTTCCTAAGATATGTATGTAGGTAGGTAGGTATATTATGTATGTATGTATGTAAGTCTTACATCCATCCAGAAAGAGAGAAAGAAAGAAAGAGATACTCAAGTCCTTATATACCACCCACCTTCCCACCTCCCCATCCCCATTCCCCAAACTCTAACCCTCTTTCCCAGAATCACAACCCCTCAATCCCAAACCCCCAATCACAACCCCCAATCCCAAAATCCAGACCACAAGACCACAACACCACACACAAATGACGTACCCCCCTGACAACCAGTCCAGTCCAGTCACCCCATCTCTATTTCAAGATTTCTCAAACAAAAGGATAAAAGAAAAAGAAAATGAAAAAGATGAATAAAAAGATGAATAAACAATTACCTACCTATCACATTATATCATATCAATAAATCACATTATATCCTATCAAATCATCACATCCATCACATCCATCACATTGAAGTGAATGAAAACGAACAGAACAGAACTGAGTCAATAGCATAGCATAACATAGCATAACATCATGTTCTACTTCTACCCTACCGTATTACTATCCATCCATCTATCCATCCATCCATCCATTAATTAGACAGACAAGACAGACAGCGAGGAAATTCAGTCTCACCACTCATCGGATCAGTACGTCTTTTATCTAGACACAGGTATCCCAGTCAATACCATCATCTACAATACTAGCGAATCTCGAGGTAAGCCACCCGCGAAACGATTGATTGATTGATTGATATAATAGAACTGTACCTCCACCCATACCCTCATATAAAGCCCATTCCAATCCATTCCATTCCATTCCATCCACCCAATCAATCATTCCATATCGCACTCACTTTAGCAAAAAAACAAAAAGCCTCTACCAAATCCACGATTCATCATCACCCAAAGCGCCAAGAAATGTGCATATACAAATACTACGCCTTTACAATCCCATCGCCCGCTCGCTAGTTGAAAAGATATCTATGTACCATGAAGACAACCTCCATGTATTCATTCATTCATTCCCGTCCAAAACCTGACTGATATGCGAAAGACGATTCGTAATGAATTGGGTATGTACGTCCATTAATTATTCCTTGCCCACTCCTTAACTCCATTTCCCAATGATTGGATATATCGATGCACGTTCTCTGACTTCTATTTAGAGTGTATCGTATGTCTAATATCCTTAAAGTGATAGCTTATGAAGTGCTATAAGATACTGGGTTGCGCGGTAAATCGAATGAGTATCAAGGAAATACTGCATCCAACACCTCGTCGTCATCACCGTCATTTTCATCGGGATTTAATGCAGTAGCATTCATCATCCCAGACATTATCTGGTCATCTTGAGCCCCCAGAGGCTGTTGTGAATTCGTAACCCCTTCAATAGAAAGGGCTCCTTCGTCTTCAGGAGCTACCTGATCCGACTCCATGGTTAAATTTTGAGTTAAAAAATTGCGTAGACCATTTACACCAGGTCCGGAAAAGACACAAAATACATTGCGTTGATGATCGGTAAATTCTAAATGATGTCAACACATGGAAGGAAAGCATAAAGTGAAGAACTTACCCGCGGGAGCCTCTCTACAAAACTGTTCGAGATCTCTTCGAAGAAAAGCGTGAACACCAGTCAAACTCAGATGTGTTAATTTCGAACAATTTCTAAGTAGTAATATGATACTCTGTAATTTTGTTAGCGAAATTCCTCATGCACAATTGTCTTCCACTTACTTGGAGTGTTAAATTAGCACAATAGCTAAGATGTACTCTTTCGAGACAACTCCCATTATAGGCTGGTTCATCGATATGATGTCCTCGGTGAGCTAATTGTCGTTGTTTTTGTGCGACGGCTAATGCTATAACACTTTCATCGGTGATATTTACACACTTGACCAACCCAATACGCCTTAGTTTAGGAAGAGTAGCTAGTTTTGTGACGGATAAATCTGTGAGGTGAACACAACAACCTAGATCGATATAACGAATCCGATTGCATGCTTGAACAAGTTTAATGACAGCAGCATCAGTAATTTGTCCACAATGTCCAAGATGAAGGTAGTGAAGATTTTTTCCCAGCCTGCTAATGGAATGGACGGCATGGTCCGTCAAGAGCCTACATTTTGCGAAGACTAAATTCCTCAATCTTGGAGCAACAGCTATAATCTTCTCAACAGCAGCATCTGTGAGTCGGTGACAACTTGTAAGATCCAAGATTCGTAAATGATCATATATCGCTTTATGAGGTAGGTTAAGGAATGCCGAATCGGTAATCAATTCACAATTTGCCAATCGAAGTTCCCGGAGAGCATTTCCATGTGTGATGAGATTAGTTACTGGGTCGTTTCCAATATTCTTACATTGGTGGAGATCGATTTCGAGGATGTTACGGCAATTTTGAGCAAATGCCATGATAGCCCTGTCGTCCAGTTGCTCACACTCATTCAATTTGAGCTACAAGTTAAGTCAGTATAAATCTTGAATCAATTTCAGCTAACTTACCCGTTTGAGGTGATGACAACTCTCCGCCACTTTCACCATCGATTCAGAAGTAATTCCAACACACTGCGATATGTTTAGACCTTGTAATCGACGGCAATGCTCCGCCAAAGTGAACATGGAAGTGTCGGTAATTTGTTTCACTCCAGAAATATCCAGAGCAAGTAAGTGACTGTTATCGGTAATCAATTCGGTCAAACCACTATCTGAGATACCCTCGCAGTTGGTCAATGTTAATCTTTCCACCTTTGTGCATACGGAAAGAGGACGAACAGTCCCGTCACTGACGCGATCTGCCAAAACTGCCAAATTTAATCTTTTGATGAAATCTCGATATGCGAAATAGGGATTTTCCAAGGTGAGCGTATTGCAGATATGCCCGAGTTTCGGAAATGTTGAACATGCCGGTCGATGCCATAATAAATCCACACTGTTCCTAGCCCATTTCTTACATACTCGCATGCAAGATAGAATATCGTTTGGATGAGTGAGTTTTGAGAATATGTTGATGAGAACTTCGGCGGGCAGTCTATTGGATGCGGATATACATGTCTCTGTAACAGCCATATCTTGAAAAGTTGGTACGCCGATTGAGGATTGTGAATCGTTGTTTCCAGCGAAGAAATCGGATTCTTCATAATCGGCACGCGCGGGGGAATTACTCGTAGATGAATGCGAATCATCACCTATATCAGGAGTCGCACGAGATGGAAAACCGGAGTTGAGGAGAGGCATCCTCGTAGGTCGAGCCTTCATCGTGATGAATGAAGGGAGATGATGTCGTCGAAGTATCTGACTGAAGTGGGAGGCAGTGATGGAGCAATCGCCGGGATGCTTTTCTAGATTTGGCGCTACGTTTGGAGGCAGTTGATAAACCGATATCGAGACCAATGTCGTGCAAAGGGGTGAAATGAGGAGGTTGCTGACAATTGTGGGTTGCTCAGCCTCGTCGATATCATGGAAGATTTTCCCAGGGTTTTGGGTATGTAAGGGAGGATAAAAAATGTCGCGAAATTCGTAAATTTCTGGGAATATTTATGGATGACGAAGAAGTCTGAAAGGTATTTGGTTGAGGAGGTTTTAATTTAATTATCAGTTTTGTTTGCTTCCAGGGAAATTGAGCGATGGGAACAAGCAATATTTGATCGTGCTGTGTTCTTCTCTTCTTATTTAATGTTTTCAATTTTGGAGGCTTTGGCTTGGACTTTGCATTTGGCTTTTGGTTGCAGGAGAAGTTCCGTTTTGGATTTTGTGCTTTGCTTTACAGGGTAAATGTGTGTTTGGAGGGTTTGGTGGGATAGTGGTTTGAGGTAAGAAGAAGCTTGATAAGGGAGAGAGTGATGGATCAAATGTGTGTGTTGATACCGTCCTTAGTCAGCAATCCCCTCGATATATAATATACGATAAATCTTTGGCTGGCGAACGACAACATGCACAGTTCAACATTCTTCGATTTGTCTATTCCATCTATTAAAACGATTCATTCAAGATCCTAATCTTTCTTTCACCTAAAAAGAAACCTGATACCTCAACAATTACAAATTGATTCAATTAGACCATCATCAAATCATCTACATTCAAACTCCTTGAAGTGATGAAAACTATTCAAGGTGCATATCATCCTATCAAAAACATATAAAATGCTATTTATAGACTTGAATGTGAATGACATCTAGAACGATTAGAACTTTAATTCGTCAAACTTTTATTGATCGAATATTGTGATTTCTATTTATCCAAATAGTCTGCCTCCACGGCAGTGGCCCCCGGAGGGCTAGCGGAGCGTCATTTATGTATCTACGAAGTATATAGCAGATAGTATTGAGAGGACTCAATCCTCAAGCAATAGTATAGTTCCTATGTAGATAGTGTCTGGACTAGCGGAGCGTCATCTATGTATCTATTACTAGTCAAAAACATAGTATCACCATACAAAGTAAGTAACATCTAACATTATCACCCACCATCTTCTCCATCCATCTTCCACATCCACAACCATAAGGAAATCTACTCTTACCTCTCTCTTATATGCATACCTAGCATAACCTCTAGTAATACTAGTAAGATCATTCATTATCAAATAATATAATTGCACCGAATATCTCTACTTTCGAATTCAAGAACCTATGAGAGGTTTTTAGATATAGACTAGGTAGCTGGAGTTGATATCTATTTTATACTCGACTATCATATCGCATTATTCGGGTAATATGATTTAAGTATTGTTGGGCAGGGGGGTAGGTAGATAGGTAGTCTAGAATATACTTTGTGTGTATGGAAGTCTAGTGACTTGTTGTTGTTGTTGATGATGATGATGATGATGATGATGATGGTATCAGAAGGAAGGATATCTATCTGTCTGTCTGTCTACCTAGTATCTAATAGTACCTACCTAAAGATTTATTAAAATCTAAAACAATATATATATCTATATAAGCAGGTATTGAAAAGAAGTAGATACTTTTATATAAACTGATAGAGAGGTAGTATCAAATCACAATCAAACCCCTCCACAGAAAAATAACATACTTACAGAATCAATTTCACCCTATCCTATTTATACCCAGACATCTATTCCAATATCTACAATATAGATAGAAAATCATAAACATCATCTGTAATCTACCGGTAGAAGCAAATAATAATATAAATCCTTAATACATGTACTGCACGATACAAACCAATTAAATCATATTAGAAAAAATAAAATTTAGCTTTTAGCTTTTCCCCAGATTCCACTAAAAAGCTTCTCAATACGCGAGGGTGCGTGCAAGCTCCATCCATCCCTCCATCCATCTATCCATTATCAAATCAGCTCATATTTCAAACCACTCACCCCTCACCCACCCACCTCAATTTCTCTTCTTAGGGGTCTACACAAAATCTAACTCACCCAACATAACACAATACAACACAACGCACATCCACACCCAACCCAGCAGCACCCAAACCACCAAAATGTCCTTCCTCCCCCTCACATCCCGCACGCTGCGCACCCTCCCCAAACGACCATGCCTCTCTCCCCTCCGCACACCCACCCGCAGCATAACCAGCAAATCCCCCTCAACCCCCCAGCTCGATCCGATTTCGCTCCACCGACTCGAAGCGACCCGTCGCGCCTACTACAAACGCCGCATCTCATATTCCGCCTCCGGCTTCCTCGTCGGCATGGTCTGCATCTGGGTAACCGCAACCTCCATCGAGATACCTCCACCTTCCAAACTCGACAGTTCTCGTTCTAGCAACTCCCTCTCCCCCTCCACTCCCGTCACCATTCTCCCTCCCTCTCCCAAACCCGCCCCCGAAGACGAAGAGCTCATCCCCACCGGCACCAGCAGCACCCCCCCCTTCCCCAAAACCCTCCACTTCACCCCTTCCCCCTCCACGCACGCCCCCGAACCCTACCAACTCCTCGGCCTCGGCATCCGCACCGTCTCCTTCCTCCACATCCAAGTCTACGTCCTCGGTCTGTACATCTCCCCCTCCTCTATCCCCATTCTGCAAACCTCTCTGCTCCAGCTCGCCGCCCCCAACGGCGCCTCCACCCTCGTCGCCAACGAAAAAGATGCCCTGAAAGCAATGCTGCTCGACCCCGCCCGCAGTGAAGAAATCTGGTCGGCCATTCTCAAACACCCGGAAATAAAATCCATCGTCCGCATTGTCCCCACGAGAAATACGGATTTCCATCATCTGCGCGACGCGTGGGTGCGGAGTCTTACGGCGCGCGCACAGAAAAATAGAGAGGAGTTTGGGGATGAAGCCTTTGGGAAGGCGGTGGGAGAATTCAAGGCGTTGTTTAATCGGGGGAGTGTACCCAAGGGACGGGAACTTTTGTTGAGTCGCGATGAGAGTGGGAAGTTGGGGGTGTGGTATGAGGATGGGGTGAGTGGGAGTCAGCGGTTGGGAGAGGTGAGGGATGAGAGGATCAGTAGGGGCATTTGGTTGGGGTATCTGGCGGGTGCGAATGTGAGTAGTGAGGAGGCGAGGAGGAGTGTGGTGGAGGGGGTTATGAGGTTGGTGGAACGTCCAGTTGGGAGTGTCGAGGGGATGGTGAGGGTATAGATTGGAGCTTGTTTATGTATGTATGTTTGTCTGTATGAGTATTGTTATGATATGATATGAAATGGGAGGTCTGGCATGGTAGAGCACAGTATTACTTAGCATGGCATATCACCAAACACGAGTAAATAAATCAATATTTATGTATCATATTCATCGATTCATTCCTGCACTCTCAGCAAACGAGCTATTCTATGCGCTTCCCATAATCATGCAATTCATCCACTTCATCCACTTCAAGCACTCCACTTTCTTTCCCCTCTGATCCATCAACACAATCTCTTCAAGAAACCTCTAAGCCGCGATAGCATTCAATTCCTTCAACTGACTTTCCAAATCCTTCTTATCCTTCGCCTGCAAATCCGAGTTTCCACCAACATGTTTTTGTCCGATGAAGATATTAGGGACGGAGCTTTGGCCAGTCTTTTCGACAAGGTAGGATTGGATAGCTGATCCGTCGTCTAGGGGGAGAGTTAGTTGAAGATATCTTAAGAGAAGAAGGAGAGGAGGGGAGGGGCATTGAGGAAGAAGAGGAAACGGGTCAAACATACCAACTTGATCAAGCTCGATAGCGTAAAAATTTGCCTTCAAATCGGTCAAGAGCTTCTTGGCGGCTTTGCAGTGTGGACAGTAGGATTTGCTGAAGACGGCTGGTTATAGACTGGTTAGTTGTTTGTTTCGAGTGTGATATTCTCATTGTCTTCTCTTCTCTTCTCTTGATTTCTCATTGTAGCATTCCATACTCCTCTCTTCGAGTAATCTCTAAGCTCAGAGATTACTCGAGGAGCAGACAAGTTTCGTATCCAGAGAGTACATCGCGTAGCAGCATAGCTGAGTATCTCCCCAGCACCACAAGAAGAAAGAGAGAGCGAGAGAGAAAAAAAATCACAACATACCAACAGCGTTACCATCAATAATGCCCTCGGCTTTGGTTTGAGCAGCAGACATTCTGGCGGCGGTAATGGGAGTGGTGGTGAAGAAACGACGGAAGATATTAATGATGGGCGAATGGTATGAGACCGGTTTATACCTAGGTCTGGCAGGTGAGGTGGGCGGGGTGGTTTATATGTAAATGTCGAATGTGGATGGGGATGGGGAGTTCCGGAAGGAGTACTAGTAGATATCTGTGATTTGTGTGATTTGTGTAGGGAGAAGTGGATGGTGGGAAGGAGGGGTTGATTTTGATTTGGTGTGGTTTGATTGATTAGCAATTGGGTGAGGGGCGGAGAGGTTCTAGAAATGGAGAGGATTGTGTAATCATTCATTTACGAAATTACGAACCTGCGAATGAGCTTACCTGGGCGTGATTGCAGATTTGATTGGGATATTGCGTCACTGGACAGGCATGGAAAGGGAAGGCATGGGACTCTGTAGATCAGCTGGGAGCTGTGGGATGGATTTTCGAAAGGAGTTGTGGACTTTGGTTAGACGGAGTACCAGGACAGAGTCATTGAATGGTTTGAATTCTTTGCTGACAAATGTATTCATGTGTGTACGGAGTAGAGTAGAGTACTACTCGTAGGTATGCAGCTATTATTGTTATATTTCTTTCTATTGAATAGGTATACCTAAAGCTTTATGAGTGGCTCGAGGATAGTAGTAGTATTGTACTCTGAGAGTGTTGTGATATAAGAATCATAAAGATCTTTCCTTGGTCGATGAATTAGTAACAATGCTTTGATTCATTGGAATGATGGACAAAGAATTGACATAGAATTGACATTGGATACCTATCATCAAGGTAGAATGGAATCATGCAAGAGTGAGGCAAAGCATCCCTTGGTGGTACTCGTACTTGTCTTGTAATTGATCTGCTAAGAAAAACATGTGTTGGCATCCCCGTGGACAGCCCTGTGATCTATTTGATATGGATGGATGGCTAGAAGAAGCGATGTTGAGGTTATTGGGTACTATCAAGTAAGCAAGTAGAGTAAGAGATGGATGCTTCGTATGTCTGAATGTGTCTTATTTATTGTAAAATACTCCATCATGCTGGGTAGAAGAAAGGATATATATACAGTCAGTACTTTACAGACAGCCGGTGCGGTACGGTTCAATACGGTACAGTAGAAGGAAAACTAGAGAAGCGGCCGGCAATTGATGAATGGACAGATGTCATCTCGCTCTAGTACAGGATTGATATCGTCTGAACCCTTTCTAGACCCCATCCATCATACATTCGGCCGCCTTATAATACTTTTTGATATTCACCCTGACCTCTATCGAGATCGGTAATTATACACAATAATATCTCATCCTCACTCACTCTAACTGTGACTCTAACTTTGACTCTCACTCTCACTCTCACTCTCACTCGCTTGATCATCCTCACCGCCATCAAATTCTTAATTAGAATCAATCCTCATCAATCAAAACTTCTGCGCATGAAAAAGACAAAAGACAAAAGACAACATTAAATCCATTACTCTCCAAATTGTTCCATCTTTCCATCAGCTTCGAGACCCCGTCATCGAAAGCCTTAACATACGAGTCAATCACCCCACCTTAAACCCTACATCCCACATATATCGAAGGCCTTGTCATATCACATTCACAAGTTTTCTCAAGGAAAAAGTCCCCTCCACAGGACTAAAGACAGAAAATCAGCCAAGGTGGCTTCCCGCGTTTTGGACTCGCAAGGTGGCACCCTGTCTTCTGCCATTCAACGTCTTCCTGATTCTCTTCAAACCTATCTTGACACGACCGTTCAACATCTTCAATCCGCCTATTCGCAAATACCTGAACCCGCTCAAGCGTACATCGAACAAGCGGCAAAATATACACATATCGATCAGGTTCCGCCTACAGCATTAGCGGGTAGCGCCTTTGTTTTACTTGCAGCTGCTGTGAGCATGAGTCGTTGGGGAAATAGTTGGTTCAGTGGTGGTGCCAGTCGTTTGAGTCCCTTTTCGAGTCGAGGTAATCCACCGCAGGTACAAGATGAGGATTATGAATATATAACTGGTGAGGATTTGGAGCAACCAAGAAGAATCTATGATCCACATTTGAGACCACCTCATTCTGCACAAGAGGAAGATGATGTGCTATTGGTGAAGAACAAGGGGATTACATATCCGGTCAAATTCCCAGCTTACAGTATTGGGGATGGAAAGTTAGAAGTCAGTGATGTAAGAAAAAGAGCTGCCGCCTTGATGGAAGTTTCAAATTGGAGGAAGTTGAAATTGGTTTACAAGGGACAACAATTAAAGGATGATCATGCCCTTGTTCGAAGTTATGGAATAAGAAATGAGTCGGAGATTCTTTGCATTGTCGGGGACGCAGCAACTGGAAGTGAAGATTCGGGAGATGAAAGCGAAGAAGTAGAAGGGACCGCCGCCAAGCTCAGGAAACGAATTCGCAAATCGAAGAATAAGAAGGGAAAGAAGAAGAGCAATAATAATCTCAAAACACCTCAAATGGAATCATCTGCGACTTCCAGAACAGCTTCACCAATCCCTCCTCCAACACCCAAAACACCAATCGAGAAATTAAACGCTATTTCAGATACCTTCCACAATGACATCTTACCGTTAGCAGAAGCATTTATTGCGAGTCCGCCAGAAGACCAAAAGAAGAAGGATTTCGAACATAAGAAGTTGAGTGAGACTATTATGGGACAAGTACTATTGAAGTTGGATGCGGTTGAGACGGAGGGTGACCAGACAGCGAGGGAAACTAGGAAAGCTCTTGTGAGAGAGGTTCAAGATGTTCTTAATGAACTTGATTCAAAGGTTCCAGGTGCAGAATAGGGGGGTTTTATTTCGGCTACATCAGTTTTATTTGGGAGTAGAAGTGAATCAATCACCAAGTTCCGACTCCGGATTACTTCTGCATTGAGGAATGCATCTATCTTTTGTTGCATTTACAAAATTTGTTCAATTGGGATGCTATGCATATACTGGGTATGATTGGGCTTCTCCACTTCTAGGGAGGAATGGTATATTGCAATATTTGCAATTTGGCATGGCGTACTGCATAGATGGGATATGTGTTAATAAGTTGATGATAGGAAAGGAGGGGTTCGAATTGAAGTGCAGGGGTGAGCGTCATTGACACATGGGAAAGATGCGAGAGGGTTGATCATTCTGTTTGCATCGAGGAGCATCAATATGAGCATGATATGACTTGTGGTTTGATATTCTGGAAATGCATGTATATGCTATTTGGCCAGAGTGTTTATATTAAAGATTACAGGAATTGAATGTATGTCAAGACTAAAGTGTATAACCCATTTTGCCTCCTGCTACATGTGATATCATAATTGTGACCATAACTCAAAGGGCTTTGACACTTTTATTCGGAGTATTTTATTGCATTCTACTCTACAACCGCCTGATACATCGAGAAGTCTACGTACCGTTTCTAGGTAGTATCTTGATGAATTTCACAACTCCGCAGCCGTGTTGAATATTCGACTTTGTGTTGTCCTGGACATTCGAGTATGGATGTCCGAGTATTGGATAAGTCCCAAGCACCCAGTTGATAATAATTGTCCGAATCATTCCAATTATCAGGTGCTGAAATGGTTGACTGCCTCGCGCACTGTATTGCAACCATCACTTGCCGGGTGATATCAAGTCACCTTGAGTCATAAACATCACTTTGATTTGAAATATTAGATAACAATCATTGGTATCTGCTCAGTTCATGCGATCAAAATTGCTGCCTTATTATCTGCCATCAGGTTGGCGAGGCTTGCTTGAAGTGAAAATTCGATCAACGTAAAAATGGCAAGGCTGCAATTGCACACATGGTTAACTTCAATTTTCTCAACAATACTGGACATGATCAAAGTGAGTTCAACATGAAATTAAATAAACATTGCCATTGAAGAGAAAATTATTGATTCATCATCGCCATCATTTTGCCTCACTCAATAAATAATTCTTTTCAATTTTCCATCAAATTGGGGTTGTTAGCCCTGGGACTCGGCTAATATTTTTAGCGCGAAAACCGGTGTCAATTTGGAGAATCCATCAACCGTAAAGGAATTTGAAGACAACGACCAACCGACAAACCACGACACCGCCCTCATTAAATAACGAAGGTAGAGCAATTTGAATTTCTGTACGCCTTTCGATTTCATTCTGACAATTTATCCAGGACACGATGTCGACCTTCGAGCCAGTCGTAAGTGCTCAATTCCATACATATCCATGGCAACCAAAGCCACATTCAATATCTTGCGACAACAATCATGGGAAATGGTTTTGGGGGAACTCAGCAGTGTGGACGAATACGAATAGGAACGAATTGCTGATGTTGGATTTCTTATAATAGATCACGATCGATGCCAAGGGTCACCTTCTTGGTCGACTTGCAAGCACTGTTGCAAAGCAGTTGCTCAACGGCCAGAAGATCGTCGTTGTACGATGTGAGGCCTTGAACATCTCTGGAGAGTTCTTCCGTGCGAAGCGTACGTTTTCACCTTTATCTGAAATTGCGATGGGATTGGAGATGATGGATTTGATGTCGCGTCTGGGTGGAATATATGAAATGATGGAAGACTGATTCAATTTCGATAATAGTCAAGTACCACGCCTACCTCCGAAAGATGACCAGATACAACCCAACCCGTGGAGGTAAGATATCATAATCCGCCAATTGCGATTCTGCGATTCGCACTCGATACAAGGAAATTTTCCTGACTTTTTCACGAATAGGTCCTTTCCATTTCCGTGCCCCATCCAGAATCTTCTACAAGACCGTCCGTGGTATGATTCCTCACAAGACCGCCCGTGGTGCCGCCGCCATGGAGAGACTTAAGGTTTTCGAGGGTGTCCCACAACCATACGACAAAGTCAAGCGCGTTGTCGTTCCCCAAGCTTTGAGAGTGTTGAGATTGAAGCCTGGACGCAAATACTGCACTGTCGGTAGATTGAGCCACGAGGTCGGATGGAAATACCAAGATGTTGTCGCTAGGTTAGTAAATTCTTTGGGATTGGGTTGAATTCCGGAAGTTCCCGAGATGGTTACTAATACGAATGATTACAGACTTGAGGAGAGAAGAAAGGTTAAGAGCGCAGCATACTACGAGCGCAAGAAGGCAGCACGCAAGCAGCTTTCAGAAGCCCAGAAGTCTGCTAAGATCGACGATAAGACCAAGACTGAGTTGGCTGCTCTCGGCTATTAAATATCCTGGACCTTATTTGATGTGATTTTGCGCTGCTGGGTGGATGGATTGGGTTGTTTAACGGTTTCTTCTTTTCAACAATAACAACGTCAATGCTTTGTTCTACCATTCATTGGAAGATCTCAAGGCCTGGTATTCATTTACCATTTACACAATATTGGGAAATGCTGTAATGGCAAAAGGAGTCTGATGCAGCAAGGAACTCTGATGTGTAATGCTTCGGCTTGCATGCAGTTCATAGCAAAATGAAAAGCCCAAGGCATGAATCAAGAATGAATACATTGCGTTTGGTCTTGTGGAAATGGAAGTGGAATTGTGAAAAATAATATTGAAATCCATTTTAGTTACAGTTTATGAATGAGCATCGGTTTGGTACAAGTTACTTTAAATTCTTTGTGAATTCAAAGAGCAGTTTTGTTGGAGAGAGTACGGTGGATCTTATGAAACTTGAGCTTATAAGATCATCATGATATGATGTAATTTGTTGGCTACCTTTAACAGCTCAACTGATATACCCATAGGTAGAACCAAAGATTTCTAGATTCCCAAACTTTCAAGGATCTGATCGTCCACCATTATTATTTTGTTGAAGTGCTTTGCATTTACCCCTTATCACCACCTCCCAACTTCCCATTTTGCATTCTCATGTTCTGTTGAAGCACCTTTCGGTTATTGTAAACCCTCCTTTCCGTCTTCACGGATTACCCAGGTAGGAATATATGATTACGATGCACATGATTATGATGTTCAATTGGGATCTTCATGGAATTCTTCGTAAATCAAGCAAGACAGATGCACGATGAAGTCGATGAAATAGAACAGTGACAAGAGTACCCGCTCCGGAACTCCGAAGCCGATGCCGAGCGGGGCGGAATTTATTCCTTTGCAAAGGGTTGAACATTGCCGCGGGTGAAGGGAGTGTGGATTATTGGAGATGATTGGTTGGATTTGTGTGGTTGGATGGATTGGATGGGTTGGATTGGAGAGGGGATGGTGGGGTAATTGGATTTTGTGGAATGCACTTGTAAGTTACTCCACATTATTGCGGCGGGAGGAGGGGCCTCTAGTTCTGGCTGGTAAAGTATAAATGTTTTTATTATCCTAGATGGATAGATGGATGTTGGAGGAGGTAAGATTACATACCTATGTATCAGGATACTTATTATTAACTCCTTTGTTTACTTATTGATCGGGTCTTTGGGTGAAGAGATTTAGTTGGGTCTGAGTGGATTTTAATTCGAATTGAACTGATTTGAACTGATTTGATTGATGAATTGGTCGATTGGGATTGTTTTTTCAGAGTTATATTTACGACATTCGAGGAAGATATTAGAGTTATATCGATTGGTCGATTGATATACATTCACCAGATCCGGTAAGGTTAGGGAAGACAATACGAGCTTAAACGAAGGGTTTGAGACAACGGATCGGATCGTTAAGAGAAATTACGAAGACGGGGGAACTAGGCTGAAGAGGTGTAGTACAGACTCGAGGACGCAGTCAGAGATAGAGAGGCAAAGAGAGTAATTATAAAAGCTCTCGAGAGACGTCGAGTCGATAAAATCATTCAGGACACCGAGACTTGGCTAGCGGACTGTTCCAAATCATTCATATCAAATTAGGATTCCAAAATGTCAGGTCCTGCTTCTAGGCTTCAGAGTCTGGTTAATCATTTATTACCTTCTTCTGGATCAAACACATCTTCAACAACGCTGCCGGCTCCAAAACATCACATCCATACCCTTTCACCTACATTTTTTCTTCCCCGCGCAGCAGCGATTGAACCCGATGCTCCAGCTATCCATCATGTTACTGCGAATGGACAAACGATCACACGATCTTATCAGGAATTTGCAGATCGCTCTCGCGGTTTAGCATATTATCTCAAAAACCATAAATTTGCTCGGATAGGAATACTATGTCCGAACACGCCTGCTTTTCTCGAGAGTATTTTTGGTGTCGCGGCGGCCGGGGGAATACATGTGGGAGTTAATTATCGGTTGAAGGAGGAGGATATTATTTATATTTTTGAGTTTGCGGAGGTGGATTGTATTATTGTGGATAGAGAATTTGTGGGGTTGTTGGAAGGATATAGGGGGAGGAATCGAGGGGTGAAAATTATTGTGGATGAGGATACGGATAGAGATGAGGGGGAATTCGATCATGCGGTTTTGGAGGGCTTGAAATATGATGTGGAGAATGGGGGGAAAGGTTGGAATGGATTGCATGCGCAGGCTGATGATGAGGATGGTACGATTGCGATTCCATTTACGAGTGGAACGACGGCGAAACCTAAGGGGGTGATTTATACTCATCGGGGTGCATATCTTGCGGCTATGGGAAATGTGGTGGAATCGGGGTTGAATTTTCATAAAGGAAGATGTGGTTATCTCTGGACACTTCCCATGTTCCATGCTGTGGGATGGACTTTTCCTTGGGCTGTAACAGCAGTTAGGGGTACTCACTTCTGTCTTCGCAAAATCGATTATCCTCTGATATGGAACTTACTGAAATCTCAACCCATCACCCATTTTAACGCCGCACCTACCGTAAATACTCTACTTTGCGCCTCGAAAGAAGCAGCCCAACTCCCAAATCCAGTCCGCGTCACCGTCGCCGCATCACCACCTACAGCTCATCTTTTCGAAACAATGACAAATCTCAATCTCATTCCAGTCCATGTATATGGGATGACGGAAACCTATGGTCCCATCACAAAGGGTTACCACATGCCTGTTTGGGAAGACATCTCACTGAAAGAAAAATATAACCGCATGGCGCGACAAGGACATGGATTCCTCACGTCTCTCAATCTCCGCATTATTAAACCCGATCAACCGGATGATAGACTTATAGATGTCGCGCGCGACGGGAAAGAAATTGGAGAAATCATCTTCCTGGGGAATATATGTGCAAAGGGATATTATAACGATGAAGAAGCGACGAGAAAGCTCTTTGCGGGTGGTGCACTGCATAGTGGAGATTTGGCCGTGTGGCATGAGGATGGGAGTGCGCAGATTCTGGATCGCGCGAAGGATATTATTATTAGTGGGGGGGAGAATATAAGTAGTGTGGCGTTGGAGGCGATGTTGGTGCAGCATGAGGGGGTGTTGGAGGCGGGGGTGGTGGCGGTGCAGGATGAGAAGTGGGGGGAGTGTCCGGTGGCTTTTGTTACTGTTAGGGAGGGGGGTGGAGCGGGAGAAGGAGGGAAGGGGGGCTTGAAAGGTGAGGATGTGGTGAGGTGGGCAAAGGAGGAGAGTAGTATTAGTAGGTTTATGGTGCCGAAGGAAGTAGTTGTGGTAAAGGAATTGCCGAAGACGAGTACGGGGAAGGTGAAGAAGAATGTTTTGAGGGAGTGGGCGAGGGGGAATTGGGAGGAGAAATAGGGGGGTGGATGGGTTGGGAGGAGAGGAGAGGAGAGATGGAATGGAATGGAATGGAATGGAATGGATGAGAGCGGGATCGAGCTAGAACGTTGTTGTATACTATACTGTGAAGTTAATGGAAATAATTCGGTATATTTGATTTGATGTGATGTGTATATGTGTATGCATGAGATATGTATATGGAGGTTAGAGGGCTTGAGGGCTGAAGAAGCTCTAGAGGAATTTGGAGGTTTCCAAAGGCTAGAATAGGTTGGTGGGTGGGGCGAAATGGGGAGATGAAGATGTAAGTAAGTATAGATCTGTGTTTTTATATCTTATCACTATATCACTATATCACTATAAATTGAAGTAAGTACCTAGGTACACTTATCAGGCCGGTTTTCGATAGGTGATATTGTATTGTATTGTAGACTTTCATATCATTTTCCGTGGCGGAATCATGATCACGTGTATAAGGTTATCTATCACATTTGCACTCTTGGAATGAAAAGATATCGGGTAACCTAATAATAATAATGTATATTTGTATTGGACCTATTTGGTCTGAGAGGATCCAGATTATTCATTTATATTTTTTGATCGTTTGTCAAATGTAATGTATTTGCTATTGTATGGATGGGATGAGAAATATATACTTGTGTAACCTTATTCTTGCTTACTTAAGGTTACTTGCCAAGAATCACGGCGACCACCGGATTTAACCTTGGCGTGGATCGATCTTGAGTTGAATGCATACGTCCACCCTCAGACTTTCTATTCCATAGGTAGGTAGGTACCTTTCTTGTTGAATATCTAATTCAGTATCTTATGCTTTTCAATTTTCAATTTTTTTTATAATTTTTTTTTTGAATATAGGGAGATAATGAGGGTCGATAGGATATCCATGATGCACGTATTCTATGATTCATAGAGTATTGCAAGGGTAATGAGGAGTTCGGGCGGGTGGAAAATTCACATCTGGAGGGCTGAGATCCATTGATGACCTCGGGAATTACATGGGCGGTTTGATGCGTGGCTGCGCCGAGTCTATCGAGAAGGAAGACGATGTGGCGCATGAGATGGGAGTGGGTTATTGAGTGTTCTGTTTATCTTGTTGAGTTTCTGTGTATGGTTTATGGGGGTTTTGTTCGTTTGGATTTGCGGATTTTTGGGTGTGTGGAAGTTACGGAGTTGGGATTCGCATTCAGATTTCACAATGGGGAATCTGTTGACATGGATGTCAAGGGGTTCTAGATCTCGATTGGTTGAAAATCTACGATGATGCTATGAGAGAGGGGTTGAAAACGCGTGCTGAATTGTTGTTGGGGATTTCCGATTCTTCTCTGGATGAGGCGATGCAATCAAATTCTAGTGGAATGGATATTGTTTATCTTGTTATGAAAGAGAGATTGAAATGTCGTTCTGTGGTGTTGAAAGGGGGTTCGGAGTCGTTGAGGAGGTGGTGAAGGTCTTGGGGGAGATGTCCAAGGCTTGTGATGGTGCGGTAAAGGATATGCCGAAGACGTATTGGGAGAGGAAGAGGATGGATTGGGGGAGAGGGAGTGTGAGAGGGAGTGTGAGAGGGAGTGTGAGAGGGAGTGTGAGAGGGATTATGAGTTGGAGTTGAAGATGCCGAGGATGTTAGAAAGGTATCATGCTTTACTTGATCCGAGAAGAGTGCGGATGAGGAAGGGGGCACTTGCTTCGAAGAAAGTGGTGGGTGGGGTGAGTCTGCTGAGAAGGATCGGAGTTTGACGTGGGATTGGGGATTGGAAAGTAAACCGGATGGAAAGATTGAGAAATGGAGTAGGAAAATGGAGATTTTTGAGATTGAAGCTGTATCTATGGTTTCTACACTTTCGATACCTACAACGCCTTCAATATCTTCGGATTCTCCAACACCGCAAATACTTCCGATCCTCCAATACCTGAAATATCTCAAATCTCTCCAGCAAATTCAACACCACAAATACTTTCAACGTCTTTAATAACTTCCACACCTTCTACAGGACTTAATGCAGATCACTCATGGGGGTTTGATTCTGGGTCAAAGAAATCCATGTTAAAACAGGAAAAAGCTTCTCCTATCAGCATTAGCGAAAGGAAAGAACTTTACAAAGACGATTTGTATTCTGACGACTTGTATTCGGACGATGTGAAATGGAGGTCACCTGAAAGCAACCATAAGAGCAGAACGAACCCATGTAACATGGTCACAGATTATAGGGAACCAATCATTGGTTCATCACGGACAAAACATGAGGGAGCGCTCATTCTCAGAAGTCTACCTATGTCAAATCGAGCCATGCAGATAAACTATGCATTATGCCAGCTCACTAATCCACTCCTTCCGATTCGTATCTCTGACGCTCTTCATCCATTTCTTCTCTTCTGCGATGTGCAAAGTGCTTGCGCCGTTTCAATTGAGAATTCTTTGGGCTTCTATGGCATTCTTATATACCAATTATTGTGGGGTGATGAGTGAGGATACTTCTTTTAAACAAATTACATTCATTGTGGAGGCTAACAAATCTTTCCAAATTTTAGAAAACACGGTCGAGTCACATTTTCTCAACATCCCGCTAATTTCGACAATGATCACCCCGATACATTCAGTAGTTTTATTGATGCTCCCAACTTCGATGTTGAGCGTACCTCCCCTCTACTCCTGGATAGGAAACCTGCATTCATTTTATTGTTACAAATAGCTAAACAACCCCCTTCTCTGCGAGTGTACTCTGAAGCAGTTCCGGATTGGCACCGTATAGATCACTTATTGTGTCTGGGCTATAGGGAATATGTGTGGGCTATCTATTCTCCTGCTGACGCGAATGTTTGCATGAGTTATGCTCTCAAAACTTGGAGTCGAGTGCAGCACCACGAACGTCGGTTGTTCTCACAGGAATGTTTCGAAAGTATGAAGTTGTCTATCACTTTGGGAGAGGTAAAGAGGTCCGATCCATACCGAGGACGTCTGGCAGGTTTTTCAACTCTTCTCCGTGGTCCAAAACATCGGATGAAAGAGATCGAGAACGGTAAACTATCTGATGTCAGTAAGAGAAGATAATGTTCAGAAAAGATCTTCAAGAAGGAAGTCCTTCTTCAGAATTATAGAGCTCGGATTATGTTCGAAGAGTTATATTGCAACCTAGCGAAATCACCTTTCGATAGTTATATCCAATCGATCGGAACGCATCTAGCGTACGGAATTTACTTAGCAAATATGGGACTTTACCAAATGCTACTCGACGCATGGTTTGGACATGTGTAAGAACGACTTTATGAAAATGTATAGTCAAAGATTCAGCTGTATGCTAATAACCTACCAGAAATGTGGACATACTTCCTACGACGACTTTACTGAGCTCCCAGGTCGGGAAGGAGCAGTTGTAGATTTTGCAAAGGAATTGATGCAAGCAGGCTACATAACTCGAGCACAGATAACAAGTCAACCATTGGGGACGAAACTTTGGATTAGTGGGAGACTCCAGAATGGCATTAATCTCATCTCGAGAAAACTTTCGAAACTTCGGAATACCCCTGCCAACGTTTGTCAAAGCGAGTCCCCCGAAAAATCCGGTCTGTCTGCCTGCCGATGAATGCCGTTGGCTTCACTTGTGTATGAAGAAGAAACCATACACAACTCATCTCAAGCCACTTCATGTGTGTAAGGACGAAAACCAAGATCCATTGATCGACATAACTTTCTTCAAAGCTCTGGAATGCGCTTATAATAAAGAAAAGACGTGGAAGGATTGGGCAATTTTGAAGTTGAGGAGAACCGAATTTATAGGTGTATGAGCTCCAGATCCCGGTTGAATTTCTTTATCAGTATTTTGGGGTTTCAGAATCCGGGGGGTTTTGAACGGAGTCTGGGCTTTGAGAGTATTGGACGAAGTGTTCGTCTAAATCTTGAGCAGCAATAATCTCTTTACCAGCTGGTCAACATCGAATTTCCCGGTTTTGATTGAACGTGTGGAATAACATTGCTGACTTTACATAGTTCGAAGCTTGTCCAGGCGACTATGTTGATCATATCAAACCTAATGATTCTCCACCAACAACCAATGAGTATGATTTTGCACAACCACCACCTCCAAAAATGGTTCCTCCCATTGGTCCAGAACACATGTTACATCTTTCTCAAGACTGCCCTTCAATTTCTGATGTCAATTCAAATTTCTACCTCCAACAAATTTCCCGCAGGAAGATCGAACCGATCGCATTTAATGCAAATAGGTTAAGCGAAAATCTAGGCTGGGGATTACATTTTGTCGAGGGATTAATTACGTCCTTGGCAATTACCGTTATGTTTATACTCTCCTCAGTCTTAGGAATAGCATTTGCTATTTGTTGGACAATACTGGAGAAAGATATTCAAGAAGCATCTGGAGTTGCCGCTTATATTACTAGTGTTATGACCCTGGCGGTAATGACCTGGCAATTGTGGGCTTTATGATTTGAATGATGTGATTCAGCAAGTCGTGAAGGACGTTAAACGCCGGTGAGGATCCTGTCTGTTGTTGATCAGACATGGTTCCACTTTGACTTCTACAAGCTCAACCCTGTTATAGACCCAGCACGTGCTGGGGTTACATTGTTACCAAGCAGAAAATTCCAATGATCTGTTCGTCGGCTCGCACTTTTTTATTCTTGGGGATAAACTTGGCACACATGAGGAAACGGGATATACATGAAGAAACGGGATATACACGAGGTTTTTTATTTTTAGGCGGTGTAACGTCTCGAATTTTACGTAGTGAAGATGGTTCTTGATAGGTGTGAGACTTGAGACAGGGGGATCGTGGAACGTGGGAACAATAAGCTTAATCTCGGGAGGCTAAAATGGCTTGCTTGGCTGACTTGGCTAATCTAGTTTCACCAATCAGATAAGGGATAGGTATGCATCATCCCACCTACGTACAAAGATATTCTCCAAATATATATATCGCTAATTCAATCCTAGGTAGAGAGCCAATCAGTGATCAGGTTCTGTGACAGCAAAAAAGTTTATTGTCCGTTACGCTTATCGTTTAATTCCTTTTGAAGAAAGAAGTTGACAGGAGAGAGGAGGCTGTAGTATCATATCTCCACTGTTTTAGATGGCATCAAGAAAAAACTGACACTAGGTTGGCTCTAGCGGTGGGGGAGGAAAGAGGAACTCCTTCTGTGCTCGCGTGTTGTGTCTTCTTGCTTATATTCTTCGTGCTTGTGCTGCATTCATGAAGGTTGATTTTCGTCAATCTCGAAGTTTTGGTATCAGAATGATCATTTCCGTTCATGACCATACCCCAGTAGGTATTTGAATGCCACGATCCAGCCATGCTCCAGCCATGCTACAGGGATAACCAGATCAACCCTGCGACCTCCTTTAGAGTACCAGTGTTCAATATAGAATACTACCCGAGTAGGCAGTGCAGTATCAAATCATCCCACCCTCCATTAGAAATACAAATACCACCAAAGAAAAGCTGCCAAGCCAATTAGGAATAAATTTCTAAGAAATGAAAAGGTTAAGCTTACTTCCTTCTGAATAAAGTTGACAGGAGACCATCATAACAGATCTCCACTGTTTTCATTGGCATTAAGGAAGAATCCCATTTAACCCATATTTTGGTTCTGGGCAAAGACCTAGCCCTTAGACCCATGAGCCCCATTTCCTTGTTCAACATCTCTCAGAAGACTCAAATCTTTCACGTATCCAACATGGAATCTTTTGATGACCTCGATCCTCAGTGTAACTTAAACTAGGACATCAATTATCGCAGTCATCAACATGTATTACTCACGGAATTATTTCTTGACATTTCTCACTTGCTTCTCGTGGAGTATAGGATATACTGGAGCTGATGATCATGGTGTTGTTTTTCTGTATCCAACGGACAATCTCACCATCAACTATCTCGACACCGTTAATGTAACCTACACGTCTCCCTTTCCAGAGCCTCAACTTTGGATCTATTGTCAAAATATCACGGACCTCACGGGTCCACTAATCACAGGTAAGATATCATCGTAGAATGTTACAAAAAAACATGACGGAGCAATGCAAACTCACTCGATATTTCTCTCACAGAAAGCTATACCACGGTGACAGCATTTAATGGCTCTGCGCCAATCAATTGGAGATGGTTAGGTGGTTCACCTTGTTGGTTCGATTTGAAACCAAATGCATCAAATGGATATGGAGCCAATAGTGAACATTTCATCGTTGACCAAAATCAACGTGCATCACCTACAACTTTAGGATTACCCTTACCTACGGATTCGTCAACTTCAACGACATCAACATCGATATCAACTACTGCTTCGGCTGGCAGTGATGCCACCACGACAGCATCTCCAAATCCTACCACCTCTTCCACCAGTAACTCCGCAACCGCCTCCTCATCATCGACCCAGACCGGGATTTCCACCGATAGCACTCCAGCAACCGGTCTTTCCGGCGGAGCCAAAGCCGGAATCGGAATTGGTATCGCAATTGTAGCGCTCCTAGCATTGGCCGCGGGATTCTTCTTCTGGCGCAAGAAACAGGCGAAAAAGACGCATTATACGGTATATCCTACTTCGGACGTGCCGATGAATGAGAAGATGGAGGATTCGAGCGATTATTCGAGGAGTGAACCCGAACCCGTGGCGTATGAAATGTATGCGCCGGAATATCATATCGAGATGCCGGGGACGCAGCCGGTGAGGGAGTTGGGGGATGGGGAGATTAAGAGTCAGGCGACGAGGTTGGCGTGAAATGGGTGGAGTAGAGGAGAGAGATTATCGGGATCGATGTGTGTGATCGATATGTGTGATTAGGGAATTTACATCTTGTTTTTCTCTGGCTAGAGAATATATTGGATGAAGGGATTTGTTGGATTTGGATGGATTATGAAATTTTGATGGGAAAATATCGGAGTCGGGGGTTTTTTCTTCAGATGGCTCGAATCATCTGTCTGGATGTGTTGGATGAATGGGAAGCAGACATGATATAAGTGATTACAGTCTCTTGGAGTGGTCTGGTAATGATTTCCATGCATAGCTTGCAGATGGGATGGCATTGTTATATGGGAATTTACTTTTCTTGGAAAGCAGGTATTTGTGTAATATCTTTATATTTTGAGACAGAATGTCTTGGGTACGAGGGATTCGGTGTTGAGTTATTTATATTTATATTTATATTTTATATCAATGTTCATTTCATTTCAATCAAGAAGATACGTAACTCGAGTTCTTTTCGGATTTCTGGGTTTGAAGGAATCGATGTATTGGTTTGCTGTGGTTTGTTTCGTATGTCGGTATGATATTATGCATTCCTCTTTTCGTTCGTTCATCTAATGCTTCGGGACGTCATTTATTCCTCGATGCCTGGATTACATGAGATTGGACCAGTGATTAGTTGTCATTGTCGACTAGATAGCGGGGTATTCAATTCCAACTACGGTTCCAACAGTTGGTTAATCAGGCATCTATTTCTTGATTGCGATTAGTCTATAATTATCATTGCTAGTGCAAACATACGTAGTTATCTCGCATCGGGATGCCGTTTATAGAAATCAACTGTTGGTGAAGGAGGAGAGTACAATCGTTGATTCACCAACTTTACGTCTGGTCTGCGAGTTATATCATGGATTTTGTGTGTACTGATATATCAACTGATACATTTTGCGGCGGAGTGCATACTAGTGGATGAACTCGTGTAGACATGGCTTCTTCATTTTCGGGTATCCATCATCTGGATTCCCGATGTTGATGTTTTCTTTTTCTTCTCACTGCCTTTCCATATCTACTATCTACTCCTCCTAAATTCAAGAAAATCCTCAATTTTCCATCCCGTTCCATCGATCGCCACAATCCACAATGTCAGAACCCGAATCTTCAAAAACAGACTGGAGTCTCTCCTCCGGCCACGGCTATATTCTCAACCGTGCTCGCACTCGTACCCACATCTCCTCTTGTCGACTCAATCTGCAACACTATCTCTGGAAAGAAGCACTTGGGTTTAATATCCATCCATCTATTCTTCTGCATTTACCCAAGGATGTCAAAATTGCGGATGTAGCAACGGGCACAGCAGCATGGCTACTGGATATAGGAAGGCAGTTTCCAGATGGGAAGCTAGTGGGGCTTGATAAAGATATCAAGCAGGCGCCGAATGAGAAATGGTTAGCAGGAAACACGGAGGTGAGGAAATGGGATATTTTTGAAGATGTACCGGGGGAATGGGTTGGATTGTTTGATTTTGTGCATGCGAGATTGCTTGTTTTGGTTTTGGAGGGGGAGAGTCAGATTCTAGAGTTTGTGGGGAAATTGATGAGGATGTTGAAGCCGGGAGGTGAGATTCTCTTTTCGATCTAATTTTAAGAGATTGAGAAAGAAGAAAGAGATAGGTGAGGTCTGAAAGCTAACTGGAATATTACAGGATATCTACAATGGGATGAACTCGATTGCGTAAACATGCACGTCAAAACTCCCTCTTCTTCTATACAAGCCCCGGCTCTCCAACAAATCCGCAGCATGTCCTGGGCAAATGGACGATATGATTGGACGCTTCAAATTCCGTCTTTTCTCAAAGATGCTGGGTTGGAGGAGATAGATGTGCAGAGTTTTGGAGATGAAGATAGATTGGTGAGAGCGTTTAATGAACAGCATTTATTGACGATGGAGGAATTTGCGGATAGTTTGATGAGGATTGGGAAGGAGGAGGCGGCGGAAATGTGGTGGAGGTTGATTGAGAGGGGGGAGAGAGAGGCGGAGGAGGGCAATGCATTGTGTATTCCTAGGGTTGTTTGTACGGGAAAGAAGCCGGGGGAGAGTGGTATATGATGGTGACTCAAAGTGGAGGGGCTGAGGACTTGGGCCGACAGAAGCCATCACTTTTCAGTTCGTTGATCCTGTCCTCTCTGATAAGCTGTATACTCATCAGTCCAAGCCTTAACTTGCTCTCAGTGACGATATATACGCATTTGGCCAAGACTACTCCTTCTGATTTTGTTGAAATCCTGCGTATCGTGGAGTTTCCAGATTGCACATTGCACATTGCACATGATTTGATCGCGGAGCACATTCAAGCAGCGTGCGAGATGAAAATATGGTGAACTCTGGCGTATCATTGTGAAATTTGTGACTGGTGTTCCAATTGTTTTCTAGTTTGTTCACGAGACTTGCGATTCTCCCTGTGAGGCTCTCGAGCGATGGATTTGAGATTCAATGTACGCTATGATAGGCATTTGATGTATAGATCCCATTTGACTGCTCTCAACCAGTGCTCGCAATGGGTATAATGGGTAGGCCAGATGGTACGTCTGGGTCCGAGGATAGACACTATTCAATAATGTCTCCGCACAATCGCTTGAGTCCCCTGAGAATAAAGAAGTGGCAAGCGTCACATCTGTTGCGTCATCAGATCAAACACGCAAGCCCTTAATTCAGAAAAGAGGCGTGTCCGAGATGAGAATCTGTGTCGGGTAGTAGCTACGCCGCACGACCCACAATAGTACATACTCTTTTGATGAACCACGATCGAATCAAACATCTGCCGACACCAACAATAGATGTGTTGGTCTGTGAATGATTGTGGAACAACGTGGGTCGAGATATGGAAATATATCTATGTCTTATCTATGGCTCGAGTCAATATGATTGGTGTTGTTACTGCTCACAAGCTTTTCTGCAAGGCAATCATAAGTCTGATTGATCTCATCCCATAGACGCAAGTACCGTACCGAGGACAAATCAATGCAAATCTGGTCATAGATTCTTACTATCTTCAGATCTGTATGGTCTTCCTACACTCCTCAATTGGAGCGGTCGAATTTCTCCCAACATGGTTAAGCCTGACGGGAATCTACTTTATTAGCAAGACTACAGTAGCCTTAGTCGTAAGTATCCCTGATCCTTCAATAGTAATTCGAAAAGTGACGGCAGTCACTCACAATGTAGTTCGAGCTCCAAACAGATGAGAGTTGGTAATATAACTCCGTTGACTAGGTGTCGATATTACACTGTCGGCTTTTCTTCGGAAATCCCAACAGTTTGATGACAAGTACAACACGTTTGTCCAATATAATAGTATCTAGATCTGCAAGTTGTCTTGAGTTTGTTTTTCAGCCAAGCTTACGCTAATAATGGACAATCCAGTGCTCGACGTTGCCCTGCAGGAAGGAGCATTAGCAACCAAATCCGACCAGGACATCGCCGTACCCTCAGAAAAACCGAACGTTTCGACTACTGAAACCGACGCCCTGGAAAACGATGAAAATATCATTGATCTGGACGAGAATGAACCAGAACATCCTCTCAACTGGCCCTTGTGGCGGAAATGGTCAATCGTTAGCTGTACGGCATTGATTTTCATGTTGGTGTATGTTGATCTCCTCGTTCAACTAGTCCCTCGCCTCAAGCTTGCGCGAATTCATAATCCTCATATCAGATGTCTAACGAATTCTCATATAGTAACTTGGGAACCATAACTATCGTTCCAGCAGTGCCAAGAGTAATGGAAGAGTTTCACGTTACAAATGAGCTATACTCAACTTTGCTCGTGTCCATTTGGGAGCTTGGTGAAGTCTTTGGACCTTTCTTGGTGGGACCTTTGTCGGAGATCTACGGTCGAATGCCTGTATATCATGTTGGAAATATCCTCTTTATCCTATGTCTTACAGGAGGGGCATTGAGTACCAATATGTCCATGCTTATCGCTTTTCGTTTTCTATGCGGACTGGTCGTTTGCTCGGTGACTTTAGGGCCCAGTATCGTTGGGGATCTCTTCAGAAAAGAAGATCGAGGTACCGCCATGTCAGTAGCTATTGCCTTCCCACTACTAGGACCATTTGCAGGGCCGGTCGTTGGTTCCTATATTACCGAAGCAAAAGGCTGGCGATGGAGTATCTGGATTGTTGTGATTGCCGTAGGAGCAGTAACTTGTTTTGGATTTCTCACATTTCGAGAAACATACAAGGTGAAACTTGTGCAACGAAAAGTAGAGAGACTTCGCAAAAGTACTGGCAACGAAAATTTGCGATCCAAGTACGGAAGTTCGGAGAAACATGCGGATTTGAAGGATTCTTTGTTACGGCCAATCAAAATGCTGTTCCTTTCGCCAATTGTGTTTATCATATCTTTCTTCACGGCTCTGGTGTATGGAATCTCTTATGTTATTCTTACCACTCTCACTCCAATCTTAGAGGATAATTACGGACTTGGCCAAGGTCCCGTGGGACTTGCATTTTTGGGAAGAGGTACGGATTTTCGTTCTTTGATCGGATGTATACAAATGAGACTAACGTATGTCAGCTACTGGAAATGTTATAGCTATGCTACTCTATGCCATGGTCTCCGACCGATACATCAAGTACAAAAAATCACAAGAAGGACATCTGAAACCCGAGCATCGACTTCCCCTCATGCTTCTGGGTGCCATAGTTCTTCCCATCGGTCTTTTTCTCTACGGTTGGTCTGCCGAAAAGCACGTTCATTGGATCGTTCCTATTATCGGTACTGCAATCGTGGGCTTTAGTTTCATATTGGCAATACTTCCCACAGAGAACTATCTCGTCGATGTACATGAACTACATGCAGCTTCGGCAGTGGCCGTGTGCTGTATACTTCGTGCTTTATTTGCTGCCATTCTACCGCTCGTTGGACCACCTTTATATAGCCAATTGGGGCTCGGATGGGGTAATTCGTTGTTAGCTTTTATTTGTATCACTTTCTTACCTGCACTTGTGGCGTTGATGATTTATGGAGAAAGAATGAGGAAGAATTCTAGATTCCATTAGACTTCTCTTTACATAAAACCGAGTAAACTTACGTTGCTGTCAAGGGATTACGGAAAGTCTTCCGAAAGACATAATCATCCGCGATCTGCCAAAATACTGCTTACGCCAAGTCAAATTCCGTGAGACTTATTCTCACTACAATACGATCTCGACCTCGTGATGTTTTTGTATATTCGAGCAATGATTCGCATGACCTAAATGTTCTTTCATGCGATAGGCAGCACTTTTAATAAACGTCTAAATCTTCTGATACATCGATTGAGTACAAGGCACTGTGAAATAATTTTCTCATATTTCAAGATGTACCAGTCAGAGACTTTCCTGATACTTTTGTTGTTCATTGTGACAAGTTCTATAGCATCCATTATCCCAAACATCCCTGACAGATCCCTATCGACTCGAGAATGCCGAAACATTTCACCAACTTGGATCTCCCAGATTTCAAGCGCCGCTCCTAATGCAAGCTACTCAAATGCCATAAGTAGCAACGGTGCTGGTTCATTCTTCGTATACCAGAATTCCAGTAAATCTACTTATTTCTCTAATACCACTTTCATCCCCACAGTGATTTGATTGCTAACGTGATCTCCAGCTACCGCTCTCCTTCAATACCTATCCTTCACAATCCCTCCATCCACACAGAACCCCTCTAGCACAAACCAGACCTGCACCCTCGCTGCCACCTTTCCATTTTTCGAATCGCAGTATCTAGGCTGGTCACTTACCTCACCAACTCCACCCACACTCGATATCTCTATCATCTCTCCACCCTCCAATTCTCCATTCGCTATCCCACCAACCTGGACTTCAACCTTCTTTCCTGAAGACTCCGATCTCCCTCAACATTTTGGTGTACTCACACCAGTGGTGCGTCTCGATACAACGGTCAATTCATTGCCATGTCCTGAGAATGGTGTGCTGAGCTTTGTGTTTCGGTTTGCGGATGGAGTTGTGGGAAATAAGAATGTGTATGAGATATGGCCACAGTATCCAGCGGGGTTAACATCAGGTTTACCGATGACAGGTGTTTACTTAAGTGTGTGCTGATTTTGGATGATAATAGTCGTGGGATATGGTAGATTCTGTGTGTAATAAACTCACTCGCGCTCTCAGCTCGGAATGAGACCCTTCTGGAAGGGTTTATCTGTAAACCAATGTCAATGTGCCACGATTCTCTCGATGAGTTTGTCATCTGCCTCAAATTCTTATTCTGCTATTCGCAACTCTTCTTTTCAGCTAAAGCTTTCTACTCCGTGCACATCCATCTGATGATAATAACTAGTCGTGCTCAACACAATCACATCCTATGAACATTCTTCCATCTTCCATATCCTAACAGTCATGATCATTAGTAAATATCTACATGCGCGCCATACAATGATGAGAGAAGTTCGAAAAAGCCCACGCCTAAACACTTGCCACTGGCTCCTCTTCCACCACAATTTGCATGTTGCAGTTGTCACTAGAAGATTTTAGGAAGAGAATACACACGCCTTGCATTCTCCATCAGGGAATCCCCACAACAGTCACAAAATCGAGAAGTAAGCGCTTACCTTATTTATATCTACACATTCCGGTGACTTACAATCACACCCTTGATGGACTCCAACCGTGCATCATCTCCCTCACATTCATCCACTGTACTAATCAGCTATTCATCAACATCCGCAGCCGGGCACTTAGCTTCTGCTTTTTCTTCTCAGGTGGCTCTATATCTCTATCGAAAACCAAACATGTGTGGTATACATAGACAAATCTCACCACCATCAACATCAGGAAAAGAAACTCGTCCCGGATTGAAAGTCGTAGATTCTTCGTAATCAACATAAGCCTTTATGTCTCGAGTCATCGGGTCCTGTTCACCTATGACTTTCATACAGTGACATGTAACAGACATATAATTTAATAGTGCTGGGCTAAGATTCATAGTACTGTCGAATGAAGAGAACGTTTGTGATTACACTTGCAAATCTAAGGTGGGAAACCAATACACAGACGATACCATACATGCGAGAAGTAGACCACGGGATCGAGCCCAAATGAGAAGTTGTGGCGCTGTGGTAATCCAATGAATACTTTGGCGCGAGCTATCGGAAGTGTGATTACTATGGTAACGCGCAGGCTTTATCATCGTGGGCTGTGAGGGAGTGCTCATTTTGACGATGGCGAGTGATAGAGATGCTATCAATAACTAGTGAAAAAACTCCCCGTTCAATTTTAAGTGGATTCTCTGCTGCCTAGATATGAGCCAAACTATCTGGCTTTGGCGAGAGGGTCTACAAGATGCGCATCTACGCCTTATAAACGTGTTGAATGATCGCACACCAGCAGTTATTATGCACTCAGAGTATTATTTCCCAACAAATTGAGAAGAAAAACCTCTTATATTCGCAATCAAAACCTTCAGTACAATGATCATATATTGATACTCTCTTAGCATATTTTACTTGCTCCATCTGCACAAGCATCCATGCGGCAGTTATTTCTTTCCCATGAGCTTCTCTTAATGAGCCTTGAAATACTCAAAGCTCACCAAAATCTCCTTACCCCGGTGAGCTCCCAAGTAGAAATAACGATATGTGTATCGCTAAAAATCGACAATCCCCGTTGAACATTTGAAATTACATCGAGTCTTGATATGCAATCCCAATTCAGATATAAAGATTGTGGATTCTCATCTTTCTTCGATTTTCAAGGCTACTAGGAAATCATGCACTTGAACCAGAATTACGCACGGGTGTTTTGGTTTGTAAAAGAGCCACTGTCAAGCCAAGAAAACTGGTGGTTATATGTTTGCACAGCCCGAAACATCAGACATGCAACATAAGTCACAAATAAGGGTCTGTGAACATGAGGCTGAGGTAATCGCCCAGGTATAGTTTTAAAAGTATGTCATATAGAAATTGTATCCGTACGTAAAATGAAGATCATGAATCGGAAGCTAAAGAAATTCATTATCATGGATCGATCATAACCTGCTATGAAAACACACGCACCCAAGTCTCTCCATGCAATCCAGTCTAACGCCTTTCCCCCAATGATAGAGGTATCATAAGTCAGTTTAAAAGAAATCCGTCAATATTGTTGGTAACCTCCTTGGGCAACCTCTTGTGGCGCATATCCCCTTTGCATCGGCATCTGTCCTTGTTGTACTTGTGGGCGTCTCATTGCTCCTGGTAAGTCGTTGAACCATGGATGGCTTAAAGCATCATGTGCGCTGATTCTCAATTCTGGTCTTAATTGCAACATTCTTTGAAGAAGGTCGATACCAACCGCATCAATTTGAGGTAGAATGACTCGTAGATCTTGAGTTGCATACATCTGAAAGTTTGACTTGTACTCGGTAAATTGAGAGATTCCAGGCCATGTTCGCTCAGACGGGGTTCCCATGATCCTGAAAATTCGTACCAACTGATCCTCATTGGTTGTTCCAGGAAACAAGGGACGTCCAGTATACATTTCTGCCATAATGCATCCCGCAGACCAAATGTCAATACTGGTATTGTAGGTTCGGCTTCCAAGGAGGACATCTGGTGCTCTGTACCATAAAGTAACCACCTCGTTGGAGAAAGTGTTGACAGGGATACCAAATGCACGCGCAAGACCAAAATCTGCAAGTTTGAGTTGGCCCTTCATGTTGATGAGGAGGTTTTGGGGCTTTAAATCTCTGTGAAGGACCCGATTTTGATGACAGAAATCGATTCCCTTGAGGAGTTGGTGCATGAATGATTTGATCGTAGGAGGTGGTAAAGCTCCTCTGTCTCCTGCAGTGTCCATATATTTCTTCAAGTCCTTGTCCATATGTTCAAAAACCAACATGAGTTTATTCTCGGTATGTATGACATCGTGTAAGCTGACAATATTCTCATGTTTCAACTCTTTCATCAACGAAATTTCTCTGATCGCAGTCGATGGTGTACCTTCTTCGGAATCGAGGTGGATCTCCTTCAAAGCGACAAGTTCACCGGTCTGTCTGTTTCTACCTTTGAAAACCTTGTATGAGTCAGTATCGAAGAACATCTACAAGTCCGCTACAAGAAGAGCCCTTGTTAGGACAGTATATCGAGCGCAGATCGCGCTGCGCTACATGGATCTCAAGATTCCCCTCATGTACTCACAGTAGCGTAAGTGCCCTCTCCTAACTTCTCCAGCTGCTGGAAGGAACTGGGGTGTTTCCTATTGTCCATCTTGTCTGTGAGGTGCTCGGTATCAAGATCTTGTATGCTGATAGAACTTGGCAGAGAGTGGGGAAGTCGCTGCACAGTTGGAGAAGGGGGAAATGTGTGAGGAGGCTTTAGTAAAGATCTTTTGCGAACTGTATTGAACAAAATGGACTTTGGGGTGCAAGTTTGCTCTAGAATCGACAGCGCGTCTTTCGACCCGTGAGAAGCCGTTTTGATTGATTGCAATAAAATTGGAGATCTTTCCCTGTGGAAAAGAAAACCGGAGCAAAATGATGTAGGGATTAATTCACTCGAGAAACGATCGTCGGGAAATGCTTCCAATTATCGTGCATGTATGGTCCAGTGAAGGTGGTACAATAGGAAGAATGATGAACGAAAGTAACCATATTGAGTTTAGCCGTTAATTGATATCCAATTTTGGGTATATTACACCAAATAAGGCGCTTAAACTCAAAATATCAAGCGCTTAATAATAAGGTTGATATGAAATAAGGTTGATACAAAGCTGATGCCTTATCTTATCTTTCGTTGATGCCTCAGCACGTGCTCAGGTGCTTGCTTTTGACACTAATGTCGGTATGACTTTAGTACAGATCGGAGTTAGGTAAGATTCACCGCTAATCGGCTCCTGTACTTTTGGCTGGTTGGGCTTTTGCTGCAATGAATGAATCAGGAATCAGGATCTCTTCTTCCTACATTCGATATCACGCGGCGGGGTACTAGTATTGTTACATGCCTACCCAAGCAACCGTGCTACAACTTACGAGACAACTTCAATTCCTAATAAAGGGATTGTTTAAATACCTTCACTTTTCTATGGAATTACCATACAATACCTAGGTTTCAAAGCATTTAAAGCATGATAAGAACTTGATCCCCGCTTCTCCACAAACGACTCCTTATCAAACAATCCAAAATGCGCCCTTTACCAGGCGACGACGCTTACAGGGGAAGATCTCGCAGTAGGAGTATTAACGATAACGACATAACACCACTTGCAACAAGAACACAAGCTCCGCAGATGAGCTATTTCCTTACAGACGAGAGAACATTAGAATCTGGAGAAGCTCAACCAATTCGTGTTCCATTAAAACATCGCGATTCTTTGAAGAATAGTACATACGGTGTGGAGAGTATTGACACTACAATTAGCTCTTTCTCTGAAGGTAGCGGTGATGAGGATGGAAAATACGACAGAGCTAGGGAGAAATTCAAGAAGAATTTGGCAGAAAAGTTACAATCTGTAGGAGATTCGAGATCTCGTTCCCGAAAGGCATCCTACGATCTCAGCGGAACTACTTCTCCGGTCCGCCCCTCAACTACCGAAGCCTCCAGACCTTATACCCCTTTTTCTTTGTATTCTGCTGCTGGTGAATCTATTATAAGTAGTCCTGGTTCGAGAATGTCAGATACTGAATCATTAAATGACGAAATATCAAGTCAGGCTATTGTATCTGGTGAAGAAGATGAACCGAATGCGCCGGCAATGATGGATAGCTGCTCTGACCCTCAACTAGTTATGCCGAGTATAAAAATGCCTAGCAGGCGGCCATTTACCGAGAAGGGAAAGAATATGGGGAGGTTGAAGGTATTGATCGCTGGAGACTCAGGTAAATAAACCTCACTCCATCACATCTCACTATTTTGACATTCTTTAGGTGTTGGCAAGACGTCCTTAATCAAAGCAATAGTACAAGTCTGTGAAGATATAGTTCATGTCGATCCTCTATCTACTTCACCATCCCCGGTCTCCGAGAAACGACGACATTCCAAAAATAAAGCTAAATCTGGAGGTGGCAATATGCAGACTACATACCAAATCACAGAAATATATGCTAGCACTAAGGCATATCCTAGTTGGTGGTCGGAAGTTGACGAAAGTAAGGTCCTACGCCGACGAAAGAGTATGGGTGATTCGGTTCTAGAAAGAAATTTATGCTTTGTTGATACCCCTGGTTATGGAAATAAGACTTCCGTGAGCTTCGTCTTACTGTTATGGCTATACTATCAGCTAATTAATTTAGTGCCTCGAAGTGATTAATCCAGTTGTTGATTACATCGAGTCTCAGTTTCAGAAAGTTGAATCCAAAGATGGCATGACCGATTCTGATATGATACATTTGCTTGGTGGGAATGGCGGTTCTCAAGTGGATGTCGTCTTCTACATCATCGTAAATCGTAAGTCTTTGAGAACTTACTTTCTGCACAAACAATTGACCCTTAGCCAGGAATAAAACCTGTTGATATTGAATATCTACGACGCATATCTTCAATGACGAATGTTATACCTCTTATAGCACGATCAGAAGTTTTGTCGCTTGAGGACCTTGCCAGCGTCAAAAGGCATGTATTGAGCGAGCTTCGGGCTGCTAATATACGGCCATTCCTCTTTGGCTTATCCTTTGACGATGCTCTAGAATCCTCTCAACCAGCTGCACCTTATGCTATATCCACTATGCTGTCAAAAGACCACGAGACCATGGATGCTAGCTTTCTCATGAACTCTGATTACGTTCAACCGTTAGTTCAGTCAGAGCTAGGAGCTCTTGTCGATCAATTGTTTGAGCCAGATAGCATAGCGTGGCTAAGAAATTCGGCAGCGAAGAAATTTGTAGCATGGCGGAATAATCAATTGGTGCAGAAGCCACAAAGTTTGTATCGACCTCTTGCGCAATCATTGATGTCGTCATCTACCTCACAAGTCCTTACTGCGCCTGTTGGTGCGACAACATCTTACGCGTTGGCCCGTATAACAGATCATACTCAACGTGAAGAGAGGCTGGCACAAGTAAGACTTTCGAATTGGGCCATTGATTTACAAAGGAGTCTTCAGAATGAGCGTGCTAGATTCGAAACTTTAGCCCGGAGTGAAAGGGCAGTGTGGTTGACAGAGAGACTCGGAGAATGTGTACAGGATGGCACACTTGTACCAATCTCTCAAGCGCGCCAACCTCGATGGAATTCTGATACTGGAGCTTTAGTCAAGCGGGGAAAATATTCTCGAACATCTTCCAACTCGATCTTGAATGCAAACGATCCCCTTGGGATTTTAGAATTCAACGAAGACATGAAACGGCGAGGTATCATCGCCTTACAAGTGGTGAGTAGCTTTGGGATTATTGGTGGTCTGGCATTTTGGATCAACCGCAACTGGCAGCCCAGTGGTGCCAGCATATGGGGATTAGATTGGACTGGAGTCCAAAAATTTGTGGACTGGAGATGAAATTCACGATTGAGATGCATTTAGCGATTTGGCTGGCTGTACTTGGTGCAAAGTGGTTAAGATAGCTTATTCAATTCGTGGGGTGGGCCCACGGGCATTCCAGGTGTTTCTTGTTGCATTTTTTCGCAGTGGGATTTATTGGCGTGATGATACGATATTACATGACGGGGTAGGAATCTGGATGGAGAATATATGTATGGCATTGTTAGTATTTGTAGCCTGCTGATGCAAATGCGAGATTTGTGGCCTTGAAGCTGAAGCGCGAGCAAAAGAGATACCAGTTAAATAGCATATCAAATTTTAATAGTTCATTTTTTAAACCCAGTCAAGTATGATTGGTCTCCCTTGCAGCATTTTATGGGTTTGAATTTGGGGGTGAGCTTACCTATTGATTTAGATACGTCCCTTGAGTCATTGGCTCGTATTCTCTCAATCATCCACAAGTTTCCCAAGGCACAAGGGCCCTGAAACTACATGTACAGTCGCACACCCTAGATATTCTGCGTTTTTCATTACATCACACTACATATTCTATAGTTGAAAAGGTCGAAAAGAGAGAATTGATCTGCACAACCGACGATGTACATCTAAATCTTTATCGCAGAATTTTAATGATTATCGAATTAAAGGTAAGGACTTGTCTATCGCTTTGAAACCCTGTTGTGCTGTACAACAATAGTAGTATGTCAGCTTCTAGGTTATAGCGATGTTGGGTCGCTCAGCATCTAGACTTTTACCGACCGACCGTATTAACGCAGTCCCATTCTCGAGAAAATCTACAACATTCAAAATCCTGAGAATCTCTCCGAGCTTACTCTACAACCGAATTCTGAAGGGGTTAAGAAGACGCGCAATCACCAATTTCACCGATTGACAATTAAGCAATTCTTCAATCCTCCCGCAAAGCTTAGTATCATTCCAAGGTTTCCACTGGTGTTCGTTTCTTCCTTCAGTAGGCTATGCCAAGTATTCTGTCACGATTAGATTATATCTTCCGTACTGTTTTCCTAGACGGGAGAAGAGGTGGTATTTCCGAAGATTCAGGGCTGTCAGATTCCCAAGCACGTGGTTGGGGGTTGTTTCGAGTTTTGGGTGAAAGGATTTCCTGTTTTTAATTACACTGTCTTATCGAGCTTATTGCCCCTGAGATTATGCAGTATTTTTGAACTTCTGGATGGATAGTTCCGTTTGCTATTGGGACCTTCTAGGAATGGTATCTTACGTTTGTTTATACAATTAGCCTTTTGAAGGGTCTGGTTTCATATTTCCTGGCGAACCGTTCGACATGAAATCGAGTGCCTGTTCTTGAAAGAAATGGATTCTTTTTATATATTTAGCCATTCCTCCGATCCTACCTTCTTGTATCTTCTTGATTTCGTCTATCAAATGGTTGTATCTGACCAGCTTGCGGGAAGCAACGAGATGCTTCCCCAGAAAATAATATGTCATGATACTGGTGGCGCAAAGGAAGAAGGATTACGAGGTTGCGCAGTGATGAGATGAGGATGAATGGCTTGCTGCAACTGAAGGGCAAGTCTAGACTCCTTTTCAATGTGCCAAGTATATATATATATATGCCGAGATCATATTTTTATGGTATCTCTTCTGCTTCATCAGTTCAAACACTGTAATTAAAGTCGCGTTCTGCTTTTTGCGTTTTTTATTATCACACTCTTTACAATTCAATTTTTTGATTCCAATATCGGCCGGTCCTTACTTTGAATTCCGCTTAAGCATTTTTGTATCATTGCAAGCAAACAAATTAACTTTCTGAACCCAA